CCGCATAACGCACAGCACAGAGTTGCCATGTCGATCCGGATTGGCGTTGACGATGTCGGCCAGAAACGACAGTTTATCGGACTCGGCGAAGGCAGCCGACCATCGAGAGGAAACATGCCGGATGTAGACGTCACAGACAGTGTCCACTTCCTGGCTGATGGCAGCCGAGTCGGGACAAGAGTCACCGGCTCACCAGGAGAGGGTTGAGTCTGCTCGGTCGACAGAGTACAGTTCAAATCGCAAGATTCGGCGATGAAAGTAGGATCGATCGAGTTCACCAGTTCATCGATGCTTCTAAAGCTGTTTTCCTGCAAGCCTCGATCGGTGTCCGGGACTATGTGGTCCGTTTGTGTCTTCTCAACAGTCGACGGTTCCTCTTCGCATGCGGTCCATGATGACGGTCGGAACAGTGGAGCCGTCGGCATACTGCCAGCCGTCCATCTCGCTTGGTTGATTGCGATACCCTCATAAAGCGGGTTGTTCCTTTGCCACGCCGCAGCTGCCACTGAGATTTGCGCACCTGAAGCAGGTTTCTGACGTCTGCGGAGCCAGGCTTAGCCGAACCGCTCCAAGAGACGTGAATGTTCTCGATGGCCTGCAGCAGGGAGGAGGAAGAACCGTGGCCACGAGATCGTCCACTTTGTTCGGAAAGACGACAATATGTCCTTTCACGTGCTTGCGGTAACTGATTCCCGAACGGGTCTTGTTGTCGACGGTGAACTTAGTGATATAGCCAAAAGGTGCAGGGCAATGAGTCTCTCTTCGACGGAGAGAGGTCATCAAGCTTCGGGGTACCGGTGCTCACAACCGATGGCCATGTTGTTGACCGAGCAGGCCTTAGGCAGCCGCCCACTGTCGAAGCTGGCGCGACACTCGCGGCACACGTCAACCCGGCGCCCTCGTGCGACGGAAGGCACGCATCACACTCTGGAGAGCCATGGCCGTCTGTAGCAGCAAGGGTGACAGACGACCCTCCACTGCATGGTGGTGAGTTCGCAAGGCGATGTCTTCCTGCAGAAGACGCAGTGGGAGACCGGCAACGTCCTCTCATCCGTAAACGCTTGGTAGAAAGACTTGGAGGCCTCAACCTGAAGGGCAAGTGGAACTTCGTGGCACCAGGATCGCGTTGATGACGCAAGCTCTTGACGCGGAAACAGGCGTCATAGTGATGTAGAGTGGACTCGACAGAGTCCCGCTGAGTTGAACGGCCGCATCGGCCGGGGCCTTTGGGGCGCCTTGGCTGCGTGGGCGGTGGAGTGGAAGTGCTTGCTCTTCTCTAGGTCGTTTTGGTGATGGAGTGGCTGGCGGCTGCGTGTGCGGCATATTGGTATTGAGCTTCACGGCGGCGGGTTTGGTCTTCGGCGCGCCGGCGATCCATATCGTGCAAGACACGGAGGATCTCGTCATGGGGAACTCTGACAGTCTGTGACCGGCGCTGATAGGACCGGCGCGATTCAAGATCCCTTAAGGTGCGGCGAACCTCTTCGGTGAGACCGTGGCTGTGTTCTCGCGGCATGGTGCAAGGGGATGGTTCCGAACGAGTGCATGGAAGAAGGAAAGAAACAGTCTATTACTGGCACCTGGGAGCAAGACGGCGACCACGACATGTGATCGAGAAACTCAGCAAAGGTTTCGAATGCTCATGGACGGGGTAGTTCGCCGAAGCTCAGAGGTGCTTGCGTGAAGGATAGATGGGCAGACGGAGACGTCGGTTCATGGCTCCGCTATCGCAGGGGATGGCGGCGGTTACGAAGAGGGGCTTAGGGTTAGAAGCATCCCGCAAAACGGGAGGGCCAATCATGTGTTGTACGGTTCTTGGCGGAGTGGATGGCGTCCTTGCCCATACGACAAGGGCCCCATGACGTCGATTTCTGGGGTAGACCGTCTCCAGCACAGGATCCGTATCCAAATGGACAATCGGGGGCCGGGCTGACCATGGTCGAAGTAGGGCCCGCCCGGGTAGCGGGGCTGGCAGCGGGCTGGCGGGGCCGGAGCCGGAGCGGTCAACGCGGGCGGTGGAGGCGAGAACGGAAAAGAGGAGAGTTGTTGTGTGGCTCGGGAAAGGCATGAAGCCGAGTGGAAGGTGGCGGTGAAGGCTGGCGCAGCTCGCACGGGGCGCTAAGTGGCCCGAGCTACGGAGGGGCGGAAGAAGGATCCTTCGTCTCTTCGTTCCTCAAGGCACAAGGCACGGGGCGCTAAGTGGCCCAAGCTGACGGAGGTGGCGGAAGAAGGATCCTTTCGTCTCTTCGTTCCTCAAGGCACCTCAGCAGGACAGGAGACCGGCCCTTCCAGGGTCCGCCAATGCCTTGAGGAACGGACTAAAGCATTAGTTGGCCGGCGGCATATCAACGCGCCCGGCAGTGCTAAAGGACCCCGTTCCCGAACTTGGTCAGTATGCCTATCTTTCGCAACCCCAATTCTCGTACATTCGTCTCGTTTCTACGGCCAAGTTCTTAAGTCTCTGCATTCCATCAACTATGGCCTGATCCAGCCCATTGCCAATGAAATCATGCTGTCTCACGGGACCGAGAAGCTTGATGCCCCGAAGCGTAGTGCACCTGGACAGTTGCACATAGAGGCTCGTAAAATTGCATTTGGAGGGTTCCCATTGGTCACACGATTTCCACGTAGCTCCAAAGTACTTCGACGAACGTTTTACCCTGGGCCTTGTAATCGGTAAGAACAAACGCTGGTGCCACGGGTAATCCACGTCGTGCATCTTGCTGACAAGAATTTGAAGTGAGAGTTAGTCGAATCGAGCGTATGTGACATGGGTCGGATGAGCACGGTCCCCAACGGCAGGGACGGTATCGCCAACGTTTTCGTCTCCTCGGACTGCAGAAGAATGCCGAGCGGTGGCCCGAAGTGGATGGTCACGTCATCTGCCAAGTAGTATCCTGGGTGATTGGGATCGAGTATAACGTCCACGGCAGTAAACTCGGCTCCGTTGACAACTTTCAAGCCAGTATAGATGTTCTTGTTCACAACCACCGGCATACCTTGGGCGTAGAAAAGACACCAGGGACTTTGCAGACAGAGTCATCACCTTGTCCAATGGTTTGTGCTATGATGTTTGGAGAAAGCGTGCCGTTGCGCCAGGTGTGAGTCGAGATAAAGATACGGATATGTTGCTTGTTGAAGCGCGCCCAGCCTACGACAGCTTCCATGTTGAGGGCCCAGCGGTGCGGTTCAGCGGCGTTATAGCACGCAAACCATTGTCGAAGGTGATTTGGGAGCGTCCTACAATGTTGGCGTTGAGCAAGTCGAGGTCTTGCTGTGTCTGCCGCCCGTCACGAACTCGATCCAGGAGTTGGGGATCGTCGCGTGCCCGGACCTGGTCTTCGAGGAGCACAACGGTTTTGAACAGATGCCACAATCTACAGCCGCTATGGTGAGAGACGGTCGCTTGTCGCAGAGGTGCCTGGGTTCCGTCCGGCGGTCTATTGATCAGGAGGCTTGTTTCCCGCACAGGCGAACTGGTAGAAGTCTCCCATCAGCAGAACTACAGGCATCCCACCAAATGGCTCGTCCGGACAGTCACGGAGTGCCTGGAGATGACGACTGACGTTGTGCAGAGTGGCCCCCAAGCATACTGACCTCGTCAATCACGAGTACCAGCTTCTGTTTCAGATCCATTTCTTCGCCTCCGAGAAAGGGGGAGGCGGTTTGTTTGGATCGCGATGGGAATCTAACCCACAGGCCGAGTGGATCGTCGTGCCGCCAATCTGGGCCGCCGAACTGCCCGATGCCGGTTATCTGCAGAAGATGTGGCTGGTTTCGCCGCGAACACGTCCTTCAGGGCATCGATGATCCTCGACTTTCCCGTGCCACCCGGCCCGCCGGTATACTGGAGATGTTGGCCAGCTGAGTCCGGATTAGCCGTATACCTGTCAGAAATGCGCAAACGAGTTGAAGGGCCATGGTCTGTAGATAGTTCAGTGTGAAGGTGGCTGCGGTGGTGTGCCCCATCTCCGAAGCTAGTCGCCGGAGTGACGTCAACGAGCATTCGAGGGCCTTGTTCATTGAGGTCACTGCCTGTGAGCGCAGCGGCGGTGTCCATATCGCCGTAGCGAGCTAGGGTATCGTCGATGTCGGCGCCATTCGTGGATAGTACGGTGCCCTGAGAACCACCCTCGATGTCGTCCAGCATTCGAAGATGCAACAGGTCTTGGGCCTTGGCTGCTGCTTGGACATCATCTCGAGATAATATTGGGAATTGGCACAAGGTGTCGCCTTGGTCGTGGTATTGAGGTACAGATCCTCCTGACGTTGGACAAAAGGTTGTCCTCCAGCGAGGTTCCCCTTACGCACGTCGCGTATTAGATCCAAGAGGACGAGGAGTCCTTGTGGCGTCAGTATTTTGCACGGAATTCCGCAAAATCTGGAGTAGAGCTGTAAGCCTGATGTTGAGCCATCGCTGGAGGCTCATCCTCGTAGTGGCCGTCGTCCAGTGGGTACTCAACGTCAATTGTGTCGTCACCTCCGATCGACTGGCCCAGAGCTTCGTGTCTTTACGCGCGTCTTCGGCAGACTTTCTCAAAAGACAAATGTTGGAGACATGGAAACGGAGGCGGGGACAAAGCCCGGCCCGATGCCTCGTCCATATGTCGGTTATATCGCCTTGGCTTTCAGAAACGAAGTTTTCCCAAGGGACGAATAACGCCAAATGTAGGACCGAATTTCTGCACAGGCTGTCAGACGGGCCAAAATGTTGCTGGGGTTAGAGCGTACCGCTTAATATACACTGGGTGATCGTCCTCATGGTCGTCGCTGATGTATCCTTGGAAGATCGGGACGGCGTACTGGTCTGGCCGTCGAAGCTTTTGCATCCAGCCGTCACAGTCGGAATCCTGCCCATCGAGAAAATGTGAGAGTCGTCTTCACCCGACTTTTCGACGCATCAAATGAATCATTGACATATAGTCGTACAGGCATAGGTCTCGTAGAACATGGCCCGGTACGCGTACGCGTCCAGGTATAAAGGGTTCGCCCTCCTTGCCTCAGACGGATTGTCTCCGGGGCTGTTCAGCGTCCGTCAGCTCGCCGGCCTGATGGCGGAGATGTGCCCATAGCCGAAAGATTGCCCAATAGAGCGCCGTCAGGTTCAGGAAAGACCAATGCGGCACGTTGGTAAAGTCGGTGTCATATCCAAGGAGATGGTAACAGACCTCTACGGCCGAGAGTTGTCGCTCGGAGAAGATCCGATTTGCCGTTCTCATCAGGAATTGACGGCTTTCATTCAATACCGCCTGCTGCCTGTCGTCGGGCAGGGTGGGATCTGGTGCGCGAGACGTCGGACGACCGGCTTCGCGAAGTTGGCGGGCAACCTCGGCGGCAAGAGCAATGCGTTTCCACATCGGCGTATCCAGTTTGGTGGCGTAGTTCGTGATGTAGTACACCATGGCCAGGCCCTGGGTTTGTGTCAAAATCATCGAGACGTCATGGTTATGACGAAGGCCGACCGCCAATGACTTGTTATACCGATTGACGAGTGGATGGTTGCGCCGGATCTGAAGCAAGCCGTCCTCTGTGAACCCTGTCTCGTCGACGATCTTCCACGGTGCTTTGAAGCGGCAGGCCGTCCGTCTCTGTGGATCTGCACCCTGTTCAACGATCCTTCAGAGAATACTTGAGGCAGGTGTACGTGTGGGAGTGCACTTGGCAACAGTACGCGATGAAGTTGGATTCGTCTTCGAAGGCCGCAGTGAGAGCCGAGGTGCTGGTCATGACCTCCTCCACGGGATGGATGGGCTTCTCTGTTGTCGCAGGGTTTTTCCAGCATCTTCATCTAAACACTCGTGAAAGACAGAGTCTACGTACCGGGTCACTTGGGCACGGTATCCTTCTTCCGCAGGATTGGCCATATCGTCTACCAGGTTCGGTAACCGCATGTTGCCGTCCAGCCAGAGGAGTCCATGTAAGTGGAGGCTGCCTCGCTCGTTCGTTTCCACCGTGGCGTAGTAGTGGCTAATCTTTCCAAAGATCGATTCCTGGCCCGTGTTCACGTACTTGTCAAAGAATAAGGATATTTCTCGGTGGAAGAAGATGGCCGAGCTAACCGGATCCATGGTGCTGAGGGCGATTCTGTCGTACCTTTCACGGAGATCGGCTAAAAGCTCCATTGCAGAGTCATAATCGTGCAGCCTATGAATGGCAAGTTTCATCTTTATCGGATTATTAATGTCGTTGGGACTGATGGTAATCCAAACTGCAGGCATACCGGCCCAAATGTTAACAGCTTGTATCTTCCTCCGCATAAGCAAACGGGATTCGTTCGAGAGCGGCTGTGCGCCAAAATCGACAGCTCGCGAAGCAAGACCGATATGTCAGGGTCCGACGTGGTCCTTGCCTCCCGCATCTCCGCCTCGGCTCTCTTCAGTCGGTCCTCGTTCAAGTTCGCATACGCTTGCTCGAGCCTGTGGAAGGAATCTTAGCGACACGAACCATGCTGATGCGGCGGTTGGAGGAGCGAAGGAGGGTGTTGAATACTAAGAAACAAAAGACAGGATGGGTGGCAAATCGGCCTCCGTGCCGTTGCAATACGTATCTGGCCCAGTAATTAAGCGAGTGATTCGGACGACGGTCGGCAACAACGCTTTGTCGGCTGTGACTCGAGTCGCCCTTTGATTTCGGGCCACCCCTTCCCCACGGAAAAAGCTTCGGAAATGTTCGAGGGAAGAAATCTTCGTGCAAGTTGTCTGCAAAATCCGCACCACGCTCTACTCGGACAAACGGCTGGTCTCCCGCAGTTTGGACCTGCATAACGCACGGCACAGAGTTGCCATGTCGATCCGGATTGGCGTTGACGATGTCGGCCAGAAACGACAGTTTATCGGTCTCGGCGAAGGCAGCCGGTCCATTGAGAGGAAACATGCCGGAAGCAGACATCTCACAGACGGCGTCAACTTCCAGGCCGATGGCAGCCGAGTCGGGGACAAGAGTCGCCGGCTCACCAGGGATGGTTGAGTCTGCTCGGGGACAGAGTACGATCTAAATCGCAGGATTCAGCCGCAAAGTGGGGTTGATCGAGTTCACCAGTTCATCGATGCTTCTGAAGCTGTTTTCTCCAAGCCTCGATCAGTGTCCGGGACTATGTGGTCCGTTTGTGTCTTCTCAACGGTCGACGGTTCCTTCGCATGCGGTCCATGATGACGGTCGGAACAGTGGAGCCGTCGGCATACTGCCAGCCATCTATCTCTGCTTGGTTAATTGCGATATCCTCGTAGAGCGGGTTGTTCCTTTGCAGCCGTGCCAGGCAGCTGCCACTCGAGATTTGCGCACTTGAAGCAGGTGTCTGACGTCTGCGGAGCCAGGCTTGCCCGGACCGCTCCAAGAGACGTGGATGTTCTCAATGGCCTGCAGTAAGGGATGAGGAAGAACCGTGGCCACAAGATCATCCACTTTGTTCGGGAAGACGACGATGTGTCCTTTCACGTGCTTGCGGTAGCTGATTCCCGAACGGGTCTTGTTGTCGACCGTGAACTTGGTGATATAGCCAAAAGGTGCATGCAGGGCAATGAGTCTCTCTTCAACGGGGGAGAGGTCATCAAGCTCTTCGGGGTACCGATGTTCGCAACCGATGGCCATGTTGTTGACCGAGCAGGCTTTGGGCAGCCGTCCACTGTCGAAGCCGGCGCGACACTCGCGGCACACGTCAACTCTGGCGCCCTCGTGTGACGGAAGGCACGCGCCACACTCTTGGACAGTCTTGGTCGCCTGCAGCATGGAGGGCGACAAGCGATCCCTCCACTGTATGGTGGCGAGTTCGCAAGGCGGTGTCTTCCTATAGCAGAAGACGCAGTGGGAAACCGGCAACGTCCGTTCCTCGGTAAACGCTTGGTAGAAAGATTTAGCAGCCTCTACCTGGAGGGCAACCGGAACTTCGTTGCACCAGGATCTTGTCGATGATGCCTGCTCCTTGACGCGGAAAGTGGCGTTGTAGTGATGCAGTATGGATTCGACAGAGTCTCGTTGAAGTTGAACGGTTTCTCGCATCGGCCGGGGTCTTTTGAAGCGCCTTGGCTGCGTCGGCGGCGGAGTGAGAGGCGCTTGCTCTTGTCAGGTCGTTTCGGTGATGGAGTGGCGGGCGGCGGCGTCTGTGCAGCAAATCGGGATTGAGCTTCACGGCGGCGGGTTCGGTCTTCGGCGCGCTGGCGGTCCATATCTCGCAAGACACGGAGGATCTCATCGTGGGGGACTCTGGCAAGCGGTGAAGGGCGTTGTAAGGACCGGCGCCGATAGGACGCCTGCGATTCAAGATCCCTCAAGGTGCGGTGAACCTCTTCGGGTGCGACAGTGGCTGGGTGTTCTCGCGGCATGGTGCTGCGAACGAGAGCTGGGACGAAGCGGGGGGAATGATCTGCTATGGCGCCCAGCAAGAATCCGGCGTTGGAAGATCAGAGGGCTCACGGAGTGCGTAGGTCAGGGTCAAGACCCTTGGTCCCGCTGGTTGGTAGAAGAATGGCGGTCACGAAGTGAGGGGCGAGCCGCCGACCGGCCGGAGCATGGCCGGAGTCAGGCGGCCCGGGGAGAGGGGCCGGAGCGGGCAGCAGGAAGCAGTGGCTCTGTTTGGCCGGAAGTAGGTGGCAGTGAAGAGTGGCTGGGAGCGCACGGGCACCATGCGGTCCGTGTTTACGGAAGGGGCGGAAGGAAGAGCCTTTCGTTCCTCAAGGCATTAGAAGTGAAGCTTTCGCGATATCTCCACCCCTACTACTTACCGCCGCCGCCGCAATGGATTATCCGTACCACCGCGAATTCGATTCAAAGAAGGCCGCCCAAGATGCCTGTCATACAGTCGCCAAGGCACAAGGCCACGCCCTGATTGTACGATCGGGGAGGGATAACGACGCCTACATGACCTGCTCGCGGGCTGGCGGGCATCGCGATTCTACTGACCCCAGCGCCCATAGATCAAAACGCCGGGCGAACCAGGCCACATACAAATGCGACTGCGGCTTCCGCCTTATTATTAAGAGGAGCAGCGAGGGCGCCTGGTTTCCGAAGCCATCGCCGTCCTGTACAGACCACAACCACCCTCCTGTGCCCGCGATATTACACTCCACTTCCTCAACGGGGAGGCCGAATCACAATACCGCTGGGCTCTGCAATGCCTACTCCAATTGGCAGCCGAAGAGGGCATTCCGGCGCCGCGGATCATGGTCACAGATCGTGAGCTTGCCCTAATGAATGCAGTTGTTGCTTTCCCAGAATTACACCACGTAGTTCACCTGCTCTGCCGCTGGCATATCAACGAAAACGTTCTTACCAAGTGCAAAAAGCACTTCCCTGCTGCAACAAAGGAAGGAGATCGCGCAATCCGAGCCCCTACGTTCACAGCCTTCCTCAAAGAGTGGGCAGGCATCGTTAACGCCCCTAATGAGGCTATCTATAACACACTGGTCCCTGCGTTCGAAGCAGCCGGCCATCCGCAGGCCGCCGTGGATTACGCTATCAATACGTGGCTCGACCCCTGGAAGGAGAAGTTCGTGATGTGCTTCGTTGACCGGCACCGGCACCTCGGGCATACAACAACCTCTATTATAGAGGGCATGCATTCTACGATGAAGCGGTTCCTATGGTCCTCGATGGGCGACTTGACCTCTGTTTTCCAGCGTCTTCGGGCCTTTTGGCGTTCCCAGTCAGACGAAATACTCAATTTGCAGCAAATTGCGATATATAAGGTATCAACGTCACTCGCCGGTCTTCGCAAAAATCCGACCGAACCTCTCTGCCTGGGCCCTTCAGAAAATAGGGTTGAATATCGCGCTGTGCCGCTTGACGTGGCTACTAATGATCGGGCAAATCCGCCGCTGGGCTGCTGTGATACCTACTTTTATTGTAGCTTTAAGAGCAGCCTTGGTTTGCCGTGCCGTCACGATATCTTCAAACGGCTCAAAAATACTGCTGCTGTCGCCGCCGTTCCGTTCGAAATGAATGAAGTTGACGTGTTCTGGCATCGCGAAAAGCCTCAGGGCATGAGCCCTGACGACGCCCCACAAGATCCGCTCCCTATACGCGGCAAAGGCCGGCCACAGGGCTCGTTGAACCTTCAAAAAAGCACACGTCGCGACCAGTCGGAATTTGAGGTCGTTGAGGGCATCGAGCGAGCTGAGGCCACAAGGCCGCCGCCGTCAACAGCGCCGGCAGCGCTGACGGGCACAAATTCTACACGCAACACACGCAGGGGCAAGGCTGTCGCTGTCAACACCACTGCCAGCGGCGCTAATATGACGAGGCAGGCGTTGGAATACCTTCATACACACGGCGACTCGTACGAGCCGGGCACAGAGATGCCACGGGCGTATCAGCGCGCCGCTGCTGCTGATGACTCTGATGACGAGCTTGCTGGCGAGACGCAGGGCACGATCCACTGTTATCAGGCCACGCAGCCAGCTACACAGTGGACTTCACAGCGGGTCACGATGCCCTCAAATCGTCGAGAAGAGGAGGATATGCCTTGAGGAACGAAAGGTTCTTCCTTGAGGAACGAAAGGTTCTTCCTTTGCCTTTGCCTTGAGGAACGAAAGGTTCTTCCTTCCGCGTCCTTCGCCACACCTCCACATCCTCTACCCCTACGCACGGACCGCATGCCGCCCGTGCCCACCAGCCACTCTTCACCGCCACCTGTTCTTTTTCCCACCAACCTTCCTGTTCCTGCTGCCCGTTCCCGTCCTGCTCCCGCCCCGGTCCCACTCTCCGGGGCCAACTCTCCTTTCTCGTACCGATTGTTCACAGCCATCACCGTGCACCATGCCACGAGAACACCCCGTCACGGTCTCGCCCGAGGAGGTTCGCCGCACTTTGGGTGATCTTGAATCGCAGAGATCCCAGCAGCGCCGTTCCTATCAACGACCTTCACCGCTTATCAGGGTTCCCCACGACGAGATCCTCCGCGTCTTGCACGATATGGACCGCCAGCGCGCCGAAGAACGATCCCGCCGCCGTGAAGCTCAATTCCAATATACCGCACACACGCAACAGCCGAACAACCCATCCCCGAGACGACCCCGAGAAGAGCAAGCGCCCTCCACTCCACCTCCAACGCAGCCAAAACACTCCCTAGAAGACAAACGCAGCTGCCAGCGACTGCATCACCGAGACGACCAGAGAGGGCTATCACCCTCCACTCCACCTCCCACGCGGCTAAGGCGCTCCTCCAAAGACACGCGCAGCCGCCGGCCGCTCCATCGCCGAAACGACACAGAGAAGAGGAGACACCTCCCACTCCACCCCCCACGCAGCCAACGCGCTCCTCCAAAAGACACACGCAGACGCCGGCCTCTCCATCACCGAGTCGATCCAGGGCGGAACAACCGCTTCGCCCTTCATCGCCCACACGGACGGGCGCTTCCCACGAGGCCCGGGCCTACGCAAGAAACCGTTCAACTCCAGCGAGACTCTGTCGAGTCTGCGCTACATCACCATGACGCCCGTTTCCGCTCTAAAGAGCAGGCATCGTCAACAAGATCCTGGTGCAACGAAGTTCCACGTGCCCTTCAGGTAGCAGCTCCTAGATCGTTCTACCAGGCGTTTACGGACGAGAGGACGTTGCCCATTTCTCACTGCGTCTTCTGCTATAGAAAGACCCCACCTTGCGAGCTCTCAACCATGCAGTGGAGGGTCGATTGTCGCCCTCCTGCTGCAGGCGACCAGGACCATCCAGAAGTGTGGCGCTTGCCTTCCGCCGCACGAGCGCGCGGAGTTGACGTATGCCGCGAGTGTCGCGCCAGCTTCGACGGTGGACGGCTGCCCAAAGCCTGCTCGGTCAACAATATGGCCATCGGTTGCGAACATCGGTACCCTGGCGAGCTTGATGACCTCTCTCCCGTTGAGGAGAGACTCATTGCCCTGCATGCGCCCTTTGGCTATATCACCAAGTTCACGGTCGACAACAAGACCCGTTCCGGAATCAGCTACCGCAAGCACGTGAAAGGACATATCGTCGTCTTTCCGAACAAGGTGGACGATCTTGTTACCACCGTTCTTCCCCATCCCTTGCTGCAGACCATTGAGAATATCCACGTCTCTTGGAGCGGTTCGGCTAAGCCTGGCTCCGCAGACGTCAGACACCTGCTTCAGGTGCGCAAATCTCGAGTGGCGGCCGCCCTGGCATGGCTGCAAAGGAACAACCCACTTTACGAGAATATCGCAATCGACCAGGCAGAGATGGATGGCTGGCGGTATGCCGACGGCTCCACTGTTCCGACCGTCATCATGGACCGCATGCAGAGAGGAACCGTCGACCGTTGAGAGGACTCAAACTGACCACATAGTCCCGGACACTGATCGAGGCTTGGAGGAAAACAGTTTCAGAAGCATCGATGAACTTGTGAGCTCGATCGATGGCACCTTCGTCGACGAGTCTCGCGACTTGGACTGTACTCTATCGACTGAGCAGACTCGACCCTCTCCTGGTGAGCTGGCGACTCTTGTCCCCGACTCGGCTGCCATCGGCCAGGAAGTTGAAACCATATGTGAGACGTCTGCATCCGCCATGTTCCTCTTGATGGACCGGCTGCCTTTGCGGATACCGATAAGCTGTCGTTTGTGGCGGGCATGGCCAACGCCAATCCGGATCCACGTGGCCGCTCTATACCATGCGTTATGCAGGTCCAAACTACGGGAGATCAGCCGTTTGTCCGAGTAGAACGTGGTGCGGACTTTGCAGACAACCTGCACGAAGATTTCTTCCCGAACATTTCCCAAGCTTTTCCGTGGGAAGGGCGGCCCGAAATCGAAGGGCGACTCGAGTCGTAGCCGACAAAGCGACGCTGCCGACCGTCGTCCGAATCACTCTCTTCAATACTGGACCAGATACGTATTGCAACGGCATGGAGGCCGATTCGCCACCCATCCTGTGTTTTGTTTCTTAGTATTCAACACCCTCCTTCGCTCCACCAACCGCCGCATCAGCATGGTCCGTGTCGCTAAAGATTCCTTCCACAGACTTGAGCAGGCCTATGCAAACTTGACCGAGGACCGACTGAAGAGGGCCGAAGTGGAGATGCGGGAGACGAGGACTACGTCGGACCCCGACATATCGCTCTTGCTTCGCGAGCTGTCGATCTTTGGCCATGCACAGCCGCTCTCGAACGAATCCCGTTTACTTATGCGGAGGAAGATACAAGCTCTAGACATCCGCGCCGGTATGCCTGCAATCTGGATTACCATCAGTCCCAACGACATTAATAACCCGGTAAAGATGAAGCTTGCCATTCATAGGCTCCACGATTACGAGTCTGCGAAGGAGCTTTTGGCCGATCTCCGTGAAAAGTACGACAGGATCGCCCTGAGCACCATGGATCCGGTCAGCTCGGCCATCTTCTTCCACCGAGAAATATCCCTATTCTTTGAAAAGTATGTGAATACAGGCCGGGAATCGATCTTCGGGAAGATCAGCCACTACTACGCGACGGTGGAAACGAATGAGCGAGGCAGCCTCCACTTGCATGGACTCCTCTGGCTGGACGGCAACATGCGCTTACCGAACTTGATAGACGACATGGCCAATCCCGCGGAAGAAGCATATCGCGCCCAGGTGATTCGATATATAGACTCCGTCTTTCATGAGTGTCTAGATGAAGATGCCGGAAAAGCCGTGCGACAGGAGAGGAAGCCCATCGATCCCGTGGAGGAGGTCATGACCAGCACCTCGGCTCTCACTGCGGCTTTTGAAGACGAATCAATTTTATCGCATACTGTTGCCAGGTGCACTCCCACACATACACCTGCCTTAAGTATTCTTTGAAGGGGTCATCGACCGGGGCAGATCAACAGAGACGGACAGCCTGCCGCTTCAAGGCACCGTGGAAGATCGTCGAGCAGACAGGATTCACAGAGGATGGCTTGCTTCAGATTCGGCGCAACCATCCACTCGTCAACCGGTATAACAAGTCGTTGGCGGTCGGCCTTCGCCACAACCACGACGTCTCGATGATCTTGACCAAGACCAAGGGCCTGGCCATGGTGTACTACATCACGAACTACGCCACCAAGCTGGATACGCCGATGTGGAAGCGCATTGCTCGCCACCGAGGTTGCCCGCCAACTTCGCGAGGCCGGTCGTCCGACGTCTCGCGCGCCAGGTCCCGCCCTGCCCGACGAGAGGCACCAGGCGGTATTGAACGAAAGCCGTCAATTCCTGATGAGAACGGCAAATCGCATCTTCTCCGAGCGACAACTCTCGGCTGTCGAGGTTTGTTACCACCTCCTTGGATATGACACCGACTTTACCAACGTGCCGCATTGGTCCTTCTTGAACTTGACGGCCCTATACTGGACAATCTTTCGGCTATGGGCGCATCTCCGCCATCAGGCCGGCGAGCTCACGGACGCCGAACAGCCCCAGAGACAATCCTCTGAGGCAAGGAGGGCGAACCCTATTATGCCTGGAGGCGTACGCCTACCGCGGTCATGTTCTACAAGACTTATGCCTGTATGACTACATGTCAATGATTCACTTGGTGCGTCGAAATGGTCGGAGTGAAGATGACTCACATTTTCTCGATGGCCAGGATTCAGACTGTGAAGGCTGGATGCAAAAGCTTCGACGGCCCGACCAGTACGCCGTCCCGATCTTCCAAGGATACATCAGCGACGACCACGAGGACGATCACCCAGTCTATATTAAGCGGTACGCTCTAACCCCCGGCACCGTTTTGGCTCCGTCTGACACTCTGTGTAGAAACTCTGTCCTACATTTGGCGTTATTCGTCCCTTGGGAAAACTTCACTTCTGAGAGCCTAGGTGATATAACCGACATATGGACGACGCATCGAGCGGGCCTTTGTCCCCGCCTCCGTTTCTACGTCTCTAACATTTGTCTTTTGAGAAAGTCTGCCGAAGACGCGCGTAAGGACGCGAAGCTCTGGGCCAGTCGGTCGGAGGGCGACGACACAATTGACGTTGAGTACCCGCTTGACGATGGCCGATACGAAGAAGAGCCTCCAGCGATGGCTCATCGTCAGGCCTACAGAGCTCTACTCCAGATTTTGCGAAATGCCGTGCAGGACACGGACGCCACAAAAGACTCACCCGTCCTTGGAGGTTTAATACACGATCTGTGCGAAGAGAACCCGGCTGGAGAAGAGCAACCTTTTGTCCAACGTCAAGAGGATCTGTACCGGAATATGCCCCATGATCAAGGTGACGCCTTGTGTCAACTCCCCATATCTCGAGACGATGTCCAGGCAGCGGCCAAGGCCCAACAACTATTGCATCTTCGGATGCTGACGACATTGAGGGTGGTTCCCAGGGGACCATGCTTTCCGCGGATGGCGCCGACATCGACGATACGCTAGCTCGCTACGGCGATACGGAGTCCCCTGCTGCGCTCCCGGGCAGCGACCTCAATGAACGAGGCCCTCGGATGCTTGTCGACGTCAGTCCGGCAACTAGCTTCGCGGAGATGGGACACACCGCCGCGGCCAGCTTTACACTGAACTATCTACAGACCATGGCCCTTCAACTCGTTTGCCTGTTTCTGGACAAGTATACTGCCAATCCGGACTCAGCGGGTCAGCATCTTCAATACACCGGCGGGCCGGGTGGCACGGGAAAGTCGAGGATTATCGATGCCCTGAAGGACGTGTTCGCGGCGAGGAACCAGCCGCATCTTCTGCAGATAACCGGCACGTCGGGCAGTTCGGCGGCCCAGATTGGCGGCACGACCATCCACTCGGCCTGTGGGTTAGATTCCCATCGCGATCCAAACAAACCGCCTCCCCCCTTCTCGGAGGCGAAGAAGTGGATCTGGAAACAGAAGCTGGTGCTCGTCATTGACGAGGTCAGTATGCTGGGAGGAGCCACTCTGCACAACGTCAGTCATTACCTGCAGGCACTCCGTGACTGTCCGGACGAACCGTTTGGCGGCATGCCCGTCGTTCTACTGATGGGAGACTTCTACCAGTTCGCCCCGTGGGAGACAAGCCTACTGATCATCAGACCGCCGGACCGAACAGAGACCCCCGACAAGCGACCATATCTCACCACAGCGGCTGCAGATTGTGGCATCTGTTCAAAACCGTGGTGCTCCTCGAAGACCAAGTCCGCGCACGCAACGATCCCCAGCTCCGTGCACTCCTGGATCGAGTTCGTAACGGGCGCCAGACCCATGAAGATCTGAGCTTGCTCAATGCCAACATTGTAGGACGCTCGCAAATCACCTTCCACGATGGTTTGCGCGCTATAACGCCGCTGAACCGCACCCGGTGGGCCCTCAACATGGAAGCTGTTGTGGGCTGGGCGCTTCAACAAGCGGCACATCCGTATCTTTGTCTCGACTCACACCTGGCGCAACGGCACGCTGTCTCCAAACCTCATAGCGCGAACCATCGGACAAGGCGACGACTCTGCCTGCAAAGTCCCCGGCGTCTTCTTCTACGCCCAGGGCATGCCCGTGGTTGTGAACAAGAACATCTACACTGGCCTGAAGGTGGTGAATGGGGCTGACTTTACTGCCGTGGACGTGATAATCGATCCCAATCACCCGGGATACTGCTTGGCAGATGACGTGACCATCCACTTCGGGCCGCCGCTCGGCATTCTTCTGCAGTCCGAGGAGACGAAGACCTTGGCGATACCGTCCCTCCCGGTGGGGACAGTACTTATCCGGCCCATGTCGCATACACTTGATTCGACTAACTCTCACTTCAAGTTCTTATCCGCAAGATGCACGCGACGTGGACTGCCCGCTGTACCAGCGTTCGTTCTCACTGATTACAAAGCCCAGGGTAAAACATTCGTCGAAGTACTGTTGGAGCTGCGTGGAAATCGTGTGACCAATGGTGAACCCTCCAAGTGCGATTTTACGAGCCTCTATGTGCAACTATCCAGGTGCACCTCGCTTCGGGCATCAAGCTTCTTAATCCCGTGAGACACCATGACTTCATTGGCAATGGGCTCGATCAGGCCATTCTTGATGGAATGCAGAGACTCAAGAACTTGGCCGCGGAAACGAGACGGTTATACAAGGACCAAGGTTTCGAAAAGTAGTGCTAGTATACTAACCATCCTTATAGTTTGACCTTTCGCACGTCGTAACGCGGCACGTAGACGTCCTACACTTCATAAGGTGACCGGACCGCACGCCAGTCGTCCGATCTCGCCCTCCCTTCCCTGGACGTAAGCGCTTTGCTCCTCACAATAATTTACCCACCATTCCTCGAACGCCTGGCGGCTGTAAAGCCACCTCGGCGGCCCGTCTCCTTCCCCGAACAGGTCCAGGATATGGTCGCAGAACATCCACACTCCTTCGAGATGCTGCGGATAAAATGGCTTCCTGTCCTTGCGCGCGACCACGACGGTGCCAACTTGTGACTGCCAGTCTGGAGGTGCAAACCCGGAGTTGGCATCAATATTGAGGTACGTAGCAATCTGGTTGTCGAGGTCTGCCTCGTTGACGGACTGAGTCCCCGTCCGATCCAGGACCAGCGGGACCTCGATGAGCCCTGGGACGGACGGCACCGACTGCGAAAACACGACATGATTCGCAGGGATTGTAGTGGCAGACCAAAGGAAACTTGCGTTTCTCGGCCTCACATCGGACAATGACAGCTTCGACATGCCCCGACTTGCTGTGCGTTTCCCTCAAACCTGATGTACCCATCGGCGGCGAGGCATGCGTGGGCGGCGGGGTGGGTTTTGCTGCTGGCGCTTGCTGGGGCGATGCCTCTGGCTCCGAATCGGTGTCGATGTTGTCCCACTTTGAGTAATCAATCGGAGGCATTGAGTCGATTCTTAACAAACTGTTACACTTTACTGCATGATTCGCGAACAGTTCAGACTCCTTTGCCCTTCGAGATGATGGCCCCAAGTTCCCTCCGCGTTCTTACCCCGCCCGCCCTCAACCCACCTTGTTGTGGCGGGGTAAAATGGCGTCCAAGCAGCCACACTACCGGGAGCAAGCCTCATCGTCTCAGCAGACCTGCCAGTGTGGAACCAAATTCAGTCCCGTTCCTCAAGGCATTGGCGGATCCTGAAAGGGGCCGGTCTCCTGTGCCTTGAGGAACGAAGAGACGAAAGGATCCTTCTTCCGCGCCCTTCGCCACACCTCCACATCCTCTACCCCTTACGCACGGACCGCATGCCGCTCCGTGCCCACCAGCCACTCTTCACCGCCACCTGTGCCTTGAGGAACGAAAGGCTCTTCCTTCCGCCCCTTCCGTAAACACGGACCGCATGGTGCCCCGTGCGCTCCCCAGCCACTCTTCACTGCCACCTACTTCCGGCCAAACAGAGCCACTGCTTCCTGCTGCCCGCTCCGGCCCCTCCCCGGGCCGCCTGACCGCTCCGGCCATGGCCTTGAGGAACGAAAGGCTCTTCCTTCCGCCCTTCCGTAAACACGGACCGCATGGTGCCCCGTGCGCTCCCAGCCACTCTTCACTGCCACCTACTTCCGGCCAAACAGAGCCACTGCTTCCTGCTGCCCGCTCCGCCCCTCTCCCGGGCCGCCTGACCGCTCCGGCCATGGCCTTGAGGAACGAAAGGCTCTTCCTTCCCCCTTCCGTAAACACGGACCGCATGGTGCCCCGTGCGCTCCCCAGCCACTCTTCACTGCCACCTACTTCCGGCCAAACAGAGCCACTGCTTCCTGCTGCCCGCTCCGGCCCTCTCCCGGGCCGCCTGACCGCTCCGGCCATGCTCCGGCCGGTCGGCGGCTCGCCCTCACTTCGTGACCGCCATTCTTCTACCAACCAGCGGGACCAAGGGTCTTGACCTGACCTACGCACTCCGTGAGCCCTCTGATCTTCCAACGCCGGATTCTTGCTGGGCGCCATAGCAGATCATTCCCTCCCACTTCGTCCCAGCTCTCGTTCGCAGCACCATGCCGCGAGAACACCCAGCCACTGTCGCACCCGAAGAGGTTCACCGCACCTTGAGGATCTTGAATCGCAGGCGTCCTATCGGCGCCGGTCCTTACAACGCCCTTCACCGCTTGCCAGAGTCCCCACGATGAGATCCTCCGTGTCTTGCGAGATATGGACCGCCAGCGCGCCGAAGACCGAACCCGCCGCCGTGAAGCTCAATCCCGATTTGCTGCACAGACGCCGCCGCCCGCCACTCCATCACCGAAACGACCTAGACAAGAGCAAGCGCCTCTCACTCCGCCGCCGACGCAGCCAAGGCGCTCCCCAAAGACCCCGGCCGATGCGAGAAACCGTTCAACTTCAACGAGACTCTGTCGAATCCATACTGCATCACTACAACGCCACTTTCCGCGTCAAGGAGCAGGCATCATCGACAAGATCCTGGTGCAACGAAGTTCCGGTTGCCCTCCAGGTAGAGGCTGCTAAATCTTTCTACCAAGCGTTTACCGAGGAACGGACGTTGCCGGTTTCCCACTGCGTCTTCTGCTATAGGAAGACACCGCCTTGCGAACTCGCCACCATACAGTGGAGGGATCGCTTGTCGCCCTCCATGCTGCAGGCGACCAAGACTGTCCAAGAGTGTGGCGCGTGCCTTCCGTCACACGAGGGCGCCAGAGTTGACGTGTGCCGCGAGTGTCGCGCCGGCTTCGACAGTGGACGGCTGCCCAAAGCCTGCTCGGTCAACAACATGGCCATCGGTTGCGAACATCGGTACCCCGAAGAGCTTGATGACCTCTCCCCCGTTGAAGAGAGACTCATTGCCCTGCATGCACCTTTTGGCTATATCACCAAGTTCACGGTCGACAACAAGACCCGTTCGGGAATCAGCTACCGCAAGCACGTGAAAGGACACATCGTCGTCTTCCCGAACAAAGTGGATGATCTTGTGGCCACGGTTCTTCCTCATCCCTTACTGCAGGCCATTGAGAACATCCACGTCTCTTGGAGCGGTCCGGGCAAGCCTGGCTCCGCAGACGTCAGACACCTGCTTCAAGTGCGCAAATCTCGAGTGGCAGCTGCCCTGGCATGGCTGCAAAGGAACAACCCGCTCTACGAGGATATCGCAATTAACCAAGCAGAGATAGATGGCTGGCAGTATGCCGACGGCTCCACTGTTCCGACCGTCATCATGGACCGCATGCGAAGGGAGGAACCGTCGACCGTTGAGAAGACACAAACGGACCACATAGTCCCGGACACTGATCGAGGCTTGGAGGAAAACAGCTTCAGAAGCATCGATGAACTGGTGAACTCGATCAACCCCACTTTTGCGGCTGAATCCTGCGATTTAGATCGTACTCTGTCCCCCGAGCAGACTCAACCATCCCTGGTGAGCCGGCGACTCTTGTCCCCGACTCGGCTGCCATCGGCCTGGAAGTTGACGCCGTCTGTGAGATGTCTGCTTCCGGCATGTTTCCTCTCAATGGACCGGCTGCCTTCGCCGAGACCGATAAACTGTCGTTTCTGGCCGACATCGTCAACGCCAATCCGGATCGACATGGCAACTCTGTGCCGTGCGTTATGCAGGTCCAAACTGCGGGAGACCAGCCGTTTGTCCGAGTAGAGCGTGGTGCGGATTTTGCAGACAACTTGCACGAAGATTTCTTCCTCGAACATTTCCGAAGCTTTTCCGTGGGAAGGGTGGCCCGAAATCAAAGGGCGACTCGAGTCACAGCCGACAAAGCGTTGTTGCCGACCGTCGTCCGAATCACTCGCTTAATTACTGGGCCAGATACGTATTGCAACGGCACGGAGGCCGATTTGCCACCCATCCTGTCTTTTGTTTCTTAGTATTCAACACCTCCTTCGCTCCTCCAACCGCCGCATCAGCATGGTTCGTGTCGCTAAAGATTCCTTCCACAGGCTCGAGCAAGCGTATGCGAACTTGAACGAGGACCGACTGAAGAGAGCCGAGGCGGAGATGCGGGAGGCAAGGACCACGTCGGACCCTGACATATCGGTCTTGCTTCGCGAGCTGTCGATTTTGGCCACGCACAGCCGCTCTCGAACGAATCCCGTTTGCTTATGCGGAGGAAGATACAAGCTGTTAACATTTGGGCCGGTATGCCTGCAGTTTGGATTACCATCAGTCCCAACGACATTAATAATCCGATAAAGATGAAACTTGCCATTCATAGGCTGCACGATTATGACTCTGCAATGGAGCTTTTAGCCGATCTCCGTGAAAGGTACGACAGAATCGCCCTCAGCACCATGGATCCGGTTAGCTCGGCCATCTTCTTCCACCGAGAAATATCCTTATTCTTTGACAAGTACGTGAACACGGGCCAGGAATCGATCTTTGGAAAGATTAGCCACTACTACGCCACGGTGGAAACGAACGAGCGAGGCAGCCTCCACTTACATGGACTCCTCTGGCTGGACGGCAACATGCGGTTACCGAACCTGGTAGACGATATGGCCAATCCTGCGGAAGAAGGATACCGTGCCCAAGTGACCCGGTACGTAGACTCTGTCTTTCACGAGTGTTTAGATGAAGATGCTGGAAAACCCTGCGACAACAGAGGAAGCCCATCCATCCCGTGGAGGAGGTCATGACCAGCACCTCGGCTCTCACTGCGGCCTTCGAAGACGAATCCAACTTCATCGCGTACTGTTGCCAAGTGCACTCCCACACGTACACCTGCCTCAAGTATTCTCTGAAAGATCGTTGAACAGGGTGCAGATCCACAGAGACGGACGGCCTGCCGCTTCAAAGCACCGTGGAAGATCGTCGACGAGACAGGGTTCACAGAGGACGGCTTGCTTCAGATCCGGCGCAACCATCCACTCGTCAATCGGTATAACAAGTCATTGGCGGTCGGCCTTCGTCATAACCATGACGTCTCGATGATCTTGACCAAAACCAAGGGCCTGGCCATGGTGTACTACATCACGAACTACGCCACCAAACTGGATACGCCGATGTGGAAACGCATTGCTCTTGCCGCCGAGGTTGCCCGCCAACTTCGCGAAGCCGGTCGTCCGACGTCTCGCGCACCAGATCCCACCCTGCCCGACGACAGGCAGCAGGCAGTATTGAATGAAAGCCGTCAATTCCTGATGAGAACGGCAAATCGGATCTTCTCCGAGCGACAACTCTCGGCCGTAGAGGTCTGTTACCATCTCCTTGGATATGACACCGACTTTACCAACGTGCCGCATTGGTCTTTCCTGAACCTGACGGCGCTCTATTGGGCAATCTTTCGGCTATGGGCACATCTCCGCCATCAGGCCGGCGAGCTGACGGACGCTGAACAGCCCCCGGAGACAATCCGTCTGAGGCAAGGAGGGCGAACCCTTTTATACCTGGACGCGTACGCGTACCGGGGCCATGTTCTACGAGACCTATGCCTGTACGACTATATGTCAATGATTCATTTGATGCGTCGAAAAAGTCGGAGTGAAGACGACTCTCACATTTTTCTCGATGGGCAGGATTCCGACTGTGACGGCTGGATGCAAAAGCTTCGACGGCCAGACCAGTACGCCGTCCCGATCTTCCAAGGATACATCAGCGACGACCATGAGGACGATCACCCAGTGTATATTAAGCGGTACGCTCTAACCCCCCAGCAACATTTTGGCCCCGTCTGACAGCCTGTGCAGAAATTCGGTCCTACATTTGGCGTTATTCGTCCCTTGGGAAAACTTCGTTTCTGAAAGCCAAGGCGATATAACCGACATATGGACGAGGCATCGGGCCGGGCTTTGTCCCCGCCTCCGTTTCCATGTCTCCAACATTTGTCTTTTGAGAAAGTCTGCCGGAGACGCGCGTAAAGACACGAAGCTCTGGGCCAGTCGATCGGAGGTGACGACACAATTGACGTTGAGTACCCACTGGACGACGGCCACTACGAGGATGAGCCTCCAGCGATGGCTCAACATCAGGCTTACACAGCTCTACTCCAGATTTTGCGGAATTCCGTGCAAAATACTGACGCCACAAAGGACTCCCTCGTCCTCTTGGATCTAATACGCGACGTGCGTAAGGGGAACCTCGCTGGAGGACAACCTTTTGTCCAACGTCAGGAGGATCTGTACCTCAATATACCCCACGACCAAGGCGACACCTTGTGCCAATTCCCAATATTATCTCGAGATGATGTCCAAGCAGCAGCCAAGGCCCAAGACCTGTTGCATCTTCGAATGCTGGACGACATCGAGGGTGGTTCTCAGGGCACCGTACTATCCACGAATGGCGCCGACATCGACGATACCCTAGCTCGCTACGGCGATATGGACACCGCCGCTGCGCTCACAGGCAGTGACCTCAATGAACAAGGCCCTCGAATGCTCGTTGACGTCACTCCGGCGACTAGCTTCGCGGAGATGGGGCACACCACCGCAGCCACCTTCACACTGAACTATCTACAGACCATGGCCCTTCAACTCGTTTGCGCATTTCTAGACAGGTATACGGCTAATCCGGACTCAGCTGGCCAACATCTCCAGTATACCGGCGGGCCGGGTGGCACGGGAAAGTCGAGGATCATCGATGCCCTGAAGGACGTGTTCGCGGCGAGAAACCAGCCACATCTTCTGCAGATAACCGGCACATCGGGCAGTTCGGCGGCCCAGATTGGCGGCACGACGATCCACTCGGCCTGTGGGTTAGATTCCCATCGCGATCCAAACAAACCGCCTCCCCTTTCTCGGAGGCGAAGAAATGGATCTGGAAACAGAAGCTGGTACTCGTGATTGACGAGGTCAGTATGCTTGGGGGGGCCACTCTGCACAACGTCAGTCGTCATCTCCAGGCACTCCGTGACTGTCCGGACGAGCCATTTGGTGGGATGCCTGTAGTTCTGCTGATGGGAGACTTCTACCAGTTCGCCCCTGTGCGGGAAACAAGCCTCCTGATCAATAGACCGCCGGACGGAACCCAGGCACCTCTGCGACAAGCGACCGTCTCTCACCATAGCGGCTGTAGATTGTGGCATCTGTTCAAAACCGTTGTGCTCCTCGAAGACCAGGTCCGGGCACGCGACGATCCCCAACTCGGCGCACTCCTGGATCGAGTTCGTGACGGGCGGCAGACACGGCAAGACCTCGACTTGCTCAACGCCAACATTGTAGGACGCTCCCAAATCACCTTCGACAATGGTTTGCGTGCTATAACGCCGCTGAACCGCACCCGCTGGGCCCTCAACATGGAAGCTGTCGTAGGCTGGGCGCGCTTCAACAAGCAACATATCCGTATCTTTATCTCGACTCACACCTGGCGCAACGGCACGCTTTCTCCAAACATCATAGCACAAACCATTGGACAAGGTGATGACTCTGTCTGCAAAGTCCCTGGTGTCTTTTTCTACGCCCAAGGTATGCCGGTGGTTGTGAACAAGAACATCTATACTGGCTTGAAAGTTGTCAACGGAGCCGAGTTTACTGCCGTGGACGTTATACTCGATCCCAATCACCCAGGATACTACTTGGCAGATGACGTGACAATCCACTTCGGGCCACCGCTAGGCATTCTTCTGCAGTCTCAAGAGACGAAAACGTTGGCGATACCGTCCCTGCCGTTGGGGACCGTGCTCATCCGACCCATGTCACATACGCTCGATTCGACTAACTCTCACTTCAAATTCTTGTCAGCAAGATGCACACGACGTGGATTACCCGTGGCACCAGCGTTTGTTCTTACCGATTACAAGGCCCAGGGTAAAACGTTCGTCGAAGTACTTTTGGAGCTACGTGGAAATCGTGTGACCAATGGGGAACCCTCCAAATGCAATTTTACGAGCCTCTATGTGCAACTGTCCAGGTGCACTACGCTTCGGGGCATCAAGCTTCTCGGTCCCGTGAGACAGCATGATTTCATTGGCAATGGGCTGGATCAGGCCATAGTTGATGGAATGCAGAGACTTAAGAACTTGGCCGTAGAAACGAGACGAATGTACGAGAATTAGGGTTGCGAAAGATAGGCATACTGACCAAGTTCGGGAACGGGGTCCTTAGCACTGCCGGGCGCGTTGATACTTGCCGCCGGCCAACTAATGCTTTAGTCCGTTCCTCAAGGCATTGGCGGACCCTGGAAGGGGCCGGTCTCCTGTCCTGCTGAGGTGCCTTGAGGAACGAAGAGACGAAAGGATCCTTCTTCCGCCACCTCCGTCAGCTTGGGCCACTTAGCGCCCCGTGCCTTGTGCCTTGAGGAACGAAGAGACGAAAGGATCCTTCTTCCGCCCCCTCCGTAAGCTCGGGCCACTTAGCGCCCCGTGCGAGCTGCGCCAGCCTTCACCGCCACCTTCCACTCGGCTTCATGCCTTTCCCGAGCCACACAACAACTCTCCCTCTTTTTCCGTTCTCGCCTCCACCGCCCGCGTTGACCGCTCCGGCTCCGGCCCCGCCGGCCCGCTGCCCGGCCCCGCTACCCGGGCCGGAGCCCTATTCGACCATGGTCCAGCCCGGCCCCGATTGTCCATTTGGATACGGATCCTGTGCTGGGAGACGGTCTACCCCAGAAATCGACGTCATGGGGCCCTTGTCGTATGGGCAAGGACGCCATCCACTCCGCCAAGAACCGTACAACACATGATTGGCCCTCCCGTTTTGCGGGATGCTTCTAACCCTAAGCCCCTCACTTCGTAACCGCCGCCATCCCCTGCGATAGCGGAGCCATGAACCCGACGTCTCCGTCTGCCCATCTATCCTTCACGCAAGCACCTCTGAGCTTCGGCAGACTACCCCGTCCATGAGCATTCGAAACCTTTGCTGAGTTTCTCGATCACATGTCGTGGTCGCCGTCTTGCTCCCAGGTGCCAGTAATAGACTGTTTCTTTCCTTCTTCCATGCACTCGTTCGGAACCATCCTTGCACCATGCCGCGAGAACACCAGCCACGGTCTCACCCGAAGAGGTTCGCCGCACCTTAAGGGATCTTGAATCGCGCCGGTCCTATCAGCGCCGGTCACAGACTGTCAGAGTTCCCCATGACGAGATCCTCCGTGTCTTGCACGATATGGATCGCCGGCGCGCCGAAGACCAAACCCGCCGCCGTGAAGCTCAATACCAATATGCCGCACACACGCAGCCGCCAGCCACTCCATCACCAAAACGACCTAGAGAAGAGCAAGCACTTCCCACTCCACCGCCCACGCAGCCAAGGCGCCCCCCAAAAAGGCCCCGGCCGATGCGAGAAACCGTTCAACTCCAGCGGGACTCTGTCGAGTCCACTCTACATCACTATGACGCCTGTTTCCGCGTCAAGGAGCTTGCGTCATCAACGCGATCCTGGTGCCACGAAGTTCCACTTGCCCTTCAGGTTGAGGCCTCCAAGTCTTTCTACCAAGCGTTTACGGATGAGAGGACGTTGCCGGTCTCCCACTGCGTCTTCTGCTACAGGAAGACATCGCCTTGCGAACTCACCACCATGCAGTGGAGGGGTCGTCTGTCACCCTTGCTGCTACAGACGGCCATGGCTCTCCAGGAGTGTGATGCGTGCCTTCCGTCGCACGAGGGCGCCGGAGTTGACGTGTGCCGCGAGTGTCGCGCCAGCTTCGACAGTGGGCGGCTGCCTAAGGCCTGCTCGGTCAACAACATGGCCATCGGTTGTGAGCACCGGTACCCCGAAGAGCTTGATGACCTCTCTCCCGTCGAAGAGAGACTCATTGCCCTGCATGCACCTTTTGGCTATATCACTAAGTTCACCGTCGACAACAAGACCCGTTCGGGAATCAGTTACCGCAAGCACGTGAAAGGACATATTGTCGTCTTTCCGAACAAAGTGGACGATCTCGTGGCCACGGTTCTTCCTCATCCCTTGCTGCAGGCCATCGAGAACATTCACGTCTCTTGGAGCGGTTCGGCTAAGCCTGGCTCCGCAGACGTCAGAAACCTGCTTCAGGTGCGCAAATCTCGAGTGGCAGCTGCCTTGGCATGGCTACAAAGGAACAACCCGCTTTATGAGGGTATCGCAATCAACCAAGCAGAGATGGACGGCTGGCAGTATGCCGACGGCTCCACTGTTCCGACCGTCATCATGGACCGCATGCGAAGAGAGGAACCGTCGACTGTTGAGAAGACACAAACGGACCACATAGTCCCGGACACCGATCGAGGCTTGCAGGAAAACAGCTTTAGAAGCATCGATGAACTGGTGAACTCGATCGATCCTACTTTCATCGCCGAATCTTGCGATTTGAACTGTACTCTGTCGACCGAGCAGACTCAACCCTCTCCTGGTGAGCCGGTGACTCTTGTCCCCGACTCGGCTGCCATCGGCCAGGAAGTGGACACTGTCTGTGAGACGTCTACATCCGGCATGTTTCCTCTCGATGGTCCGGCTGCCTTCGCCGAGTCCGATAAACTGTCGTTTCTGGCCGACATCGTCAACGCCAATCCGGATCGACATGGCAACTCTGTGCTGTGCGTTATGCAGGTCCAAACTACGGAGACCAGCCGTTTGTCCGAGTAGAGCGTGGTGCGGATTTTGCAGACAACCTGCACGAAGATTTCTTCCTCGAACATTTCCGAAGCTTTTCCCGTGGGAAGGGCGGCCCGAAATCGAAGTGCGACTCGAGTCACAGACGACAAGGCGGCCCTGCCGACCGTCGTCCGAATCACTCGCTTAATTACTGGGCCAAATACGTATTGCAACGGCATGGAGGCCGGTTCGCCACCCATCCTGTCTTTTGTTTCTTAGTATTCAACACCCTCCTCCGCTCCTCCAACCGCCGCATCAGCATGGTTCGTGTCGCTAAAGATTCCTTCAACAGGTTTGAGCAGGCCTATGCGAACTTGACCGAGGACCGACTGAAGAGGGCCGAGGCGGAGATGCGGGAGACAAGGACTACGTCGGACCCCGACATATCGCTCTTGCTCCGCGAGCTGTCGATTTTGGTCATGCACAGCCACTCTCCAACGAATCCCGTCTGCTTATGCGGAGGAAGATCCAAGCTCTGGACATTTGGGCCGGTATGCCTGCAATCTGGATTACCATCAGTCCCAACGACATAAATAATCCGGTAAAGATGAAGCTTGCCATTCATAGGCTCCATGATTATGAGTCTGCAAAGGAGCTTTTGGCCGATCTCCGTGAAAGGTACGACAGAATCGCCCTCAGCACCATGGATCCGGTCAGCTCGGCCATCTTCTTCCACCGAGAAATATCTCTATTCTTTGACAAATACGTGAACACAGGCCAGGAATCGATCTTCGGGAAGATCAGCCACTACTACGCCACGGTGGAAACGAACGAGCGAGGCAGCCTCCACTTGCATGGACTCCTCTGGCTGGACGGCAACATGCGGTTACCGAACCTGATGGGCGACATGGCCAATCCCGCGGAAGAATCGTATCGTGCCCAGGTGATCCGATACATAGACTCCGTCTTTCATGAGTGCCTAGATGAAGATGCCGGAAAAGCCGTGCGACAATAGAGGAAGCCCATCGAACCCGTGGAGGAGGTCATGAGGAGCACCTTGGCTCTCACTTCGGCCTTTGAAGACGAATCCAATTTCATCGCGTACTGTTGCCAAGTGCACTCCACACATACACCTGCCTTAAGTATTCTCTAAAGGGGTCATCGAACAGGGGCAGATCAACAGAGACGGACAGCCTGCCGCTTCAAGGCACCGTGGAAGATCTTCGAGGAGACAGGCTTCACAGAGGATGGCTTGCTTCAGATCCGGCGCAACCATCCACTCGTCAACCGGTACAACAAGTCGTTGGCGGTCGGCCTTCGTCATAATCACGACGTCTCGATGATCTTGACCAAAACCAAGGGCCTGGCCATGGTGTACTACATCACGAACTACGCCACCAAACTGGATACGCCGATGTGGAAGCGCATTGCTCGCCACCGAGGTTGCCCGCCAACTCCGCGAAGCCGGTGGTGCGAGGTGTCGCGCGCCAGGTCCCACCCTGCCCGACGACAGGCAGCAGGCAGTTTTAAACAAGAGCCGTCAGTTCCTGATGAGAACGGCAAATCGGATCTTCTCCGAGCGACAACTCTCGGCCGTCGAGGTCTGTTACCACCTCCTTGGATATGACACCGACTTTACCAACGTGCCGCATTGGTCGTTCCTGAACTTGACGGCCCTCTACTGGACAATCTTTCGGCTATGGGCACATCTCCGCCACCAGGCCGGCGAGCTGACGGACGCTGAACAGCCCCCGGAGACCATCCCTCTGAGGCAAGGAGGGCGAACGCTTCTATGCTTAGATGCGTACGCCTACCGGGCCATGTTCTACGGGACTTATGCCTGTATGACTACATGTCGATGATTCATTTGGTGCGTCGAAAGGGTCGGAGTGAAGATGAATCTCACATTTTTCTCGATGGGCAGGATTCCGACTGTGACGGCTGGATGCAAAAGCTTCGACGGCCCGACCAGTACGCCGTCCCGATCTTCCAAGGATACATCAGCGACGACCATGACGACGATCACCCAGTGTATATTAAGCGGTACTCTCTAACCCCCCGGCACCGTTTTGGCTCCGTCTGACGGCCTGTGCAGAAATTCTGTCCTACATTTGGCGTTATTCGTCCCTTGGGAAAACTTCATTTCTGAGAGCCAAGGCGATATAACCGACATATGGACGACGCATCGAGCGCGGCTTTGTCCCCGCCTCCGTTTCTACGTCTCCAACATTTGTCTTTTGAGAAAGTCTGCCGAGGACGCGCGTAAAGACGCGAAGCTCTGGGCCACTCGATCGGAGGTGACGACACAATTGACGTCGAGTACCCACTTGACGATGGCCGCTACGAAGAGGAGCTCCAGCGATGGCCCATCGTCAGGCCTACAGAGCTCTACTCCAGATTTTGCGAAATGCCGTGCAAGATACAGACGCCACGAAAGACTCCCCGTCCTTGAGGTTTAATACGCGACCTGTGCGAAGAGAACCCGGCTGAAGAAGAACAGCCTTTTGTGCTACGTCAGGACGATCTATACCGGAATATACCCCATGATCAAGGTGACGCCTTGTGCCAATTTCCAATCTCTCGAGACGATGTCCAAGCAGCGGCCAAAGCCCAACGACTATTGCATCTTCGGATGCTGGATGATATCGAGGCTGGTTCTCAGCGCACCGTACTGTCCGCGAATGGCACCGACATTGACGATACCCTAGCTCGTTACGGCGATATGGAGTCCGCCGCTGCGCTCCCGGGTAGTGACCTCGATGAACAAGGCCCTCGGATGCTTGTCGACGTCAGTCCGGTCACTAGCTTCGTGGAGATGGGACGCACCACCGCCGCTAGCTTTACACTGAACTATCTACAGACCATGGCCCTTCAACTCGTTTGCGTATTTCTGGACAAGTATACTGCCGATCCGGACTCAGCTGGTCAGCATCTTCAATATACCGGCGGGCCGGGAGGCACGGGAAAGTCAAGGATTATCGATGCCCTGAAGGGCGTGTTCGCGGCGAGAGACCAGCCACATCTTCTGCAGATAACCGGCACATCAGGCAGTTCGGCGGCCCAGATTGGCGGCACGACGATCCACTCGGCCTGTGGGTTAGATTCCCATCGCGATCCAAACAAACCGCCTCCCCTTCTCGGAGGCGAAGAAATGGATATGGAAACTGAAGCTGGTACTCGTGATTGACGAGGTCAGTATGCTGGGAGGAGCCACTCTGCACAACGTCAGTCGTCACCTGCAGGCACTCCGTGACTGTCCGGACGAACCGTTTGGCGGCATGCCCGTCGTTCTACTGATGGGAGACTTCTACCAGTTCGCCCCCGTGCGGGAAACAAGCCTCCTGATCAACAGACCGCCGGACCGAACACAGACCCCCCTGCGACAAGCCACCATCTCTCACCACAGCGGCTGCAGATTGTGGCATCTGTTCAAAACCGTGGTGCTCCTCGAAGACCAAGTCCGCGCACGCAACGATCCCCAACTCCGTGCACTCCTGGATCGAGTTCGTAACGGGCGCCAGACCCATGAAGATCTGAGCTTGCTCAATGCCAACATTGTAGGACGCTCGCAAATCACCTTCCACGATGGTTTGCGCGCTATAACGCCGCTGAACCGCACCCGGTGGGCCCTCAACATGGAAGCTGTTGTGGGCTGGGCGCGCTTCAACCAGCGGCATATCCGTATCTTTGTCTCGACTCACACCTGGCGTAGCGGCGCGCTTTCTCCAGACATCGTAGTGCGAACCATCGGACAAGGCGACGACTCTGCCTGCAAAGTCCCCGGCGTCTTCTTCTACGCCCAGGGCATGCCCGTGGTTGTGAACAAGAACATCTACACTGGCCTGAAGGTTGTGAATGGGGCCGACTTTACCGCCGTGGACGTGATAATCGATCCCAATCACCCGGGATACTGCTTGGCAGATGACGTGACCATCCACTTCGGGCCACCGCTCGGCATTCTTCTGCAGTCCGAGGAGACGAAAGCCTTGGCGATACCATCCCTCCCGGTCGGGACAGTGCTCATCAGACCCATGTCGCATACGCTCGATTCGACTAGCTCTCACTTCAAATTCTTGTCGGCAAGATGCACACGACGTGGATTACCCGTTGCGCCAGCGTTCGTCCTCACTGACTATAAATCTCAGGGTAAAACATTTGTAGAAGTACTCTTGGAGCTGCGTGGAAATCGTCTGACCAATGGCGAACCCTCCAAATGCGATTTCACGAGCCTCTATGTTCAACTGTCCAGGTGTACTCGGGGGGTTGACTAGCAGGGGTCCGCAAGGCCCCCCCCTCTCCTACGGAGAGGGGGTCACAAAACTTGTTTCTTTGACGGTTGTTGGAATACTAACCTGCTGAGTAACCCGTGCAATCGGGATACCATCACGGTTCATGCACGACTCCCACGTGACACCCTACCCCGCGATCAGGGCACGCAGCCCCGGCTGCATGCCCCCATTACCGGGTGCACATTCCGTTTCTTGTGAATAGCTTCCTCTTCCTAGTTAGTTACAATTGAAGTCATCACCGGTTACCCTACCTGTCGTGACTGTGACTCAGCCTACAGCTTGTGCGCATGCGTATCTGTAGGCACATAGGTGCCTACCATCACTGATCAGTGGTTCCAGGTCCCGAAGGAGCCACAGAGCAGCAAGGTAGACGAAGAGTCACCGATCTGATCCGCCTGCAATTCACCGTGCCGTTCGGAGAAAGTGATACTTTCCTCTACGGGTAGAAGAGACAAACTCCGTGATTCGTTCCGCCGAGCAACTCACCGACCGTTCGAAGACGACAAGTTTGTGCTAAGAGCAGGAGACACTCCTTATTCCGATCCGCCTTCAACTCACTGTGCCGTTCGGAAGAAAGAAGCAGAACCTACGGCTAACCTATTGCTATTCCTAACTGCCGTTCCGCCGAGCAACTCACCGACCGTTCGAAGGAAAGGAAAGACATAGCTTAGCTGCGTCAGCAACGCATTCCGACTCCTCGCGATTGTGCTTTAATCAGTACAATTGATTACTACCATTCACCTCCGACACTATGTCTGCAGGACCTAGCAGCAGTGCCCCGGGAGGCAGTAGTAATACCCCGTCCCTACTATCTATATTGCTCGCGATCCCCAAGCCAGGAGAGAGTGCAAGGATGGCTGGACAAATATACTGGCATACCGATCGACCTGTCAGACATTGACCTATCCTCTGGCATACCCCTGTGAACCCAGAGGAAGAGCCAACGCCACGCCACCTGATCACACAACTCGCCCGTGCGTGGACCGACTATGAGAGAGCCAATGTAGGAAGAATCGACACTCTTATTATGTTCCAAGAGCACTTCGAAGGATGGAATAGTGCACTCTTCGGAAGGATTGAGCCAACGATTCGAGCTGCATTCGTCAACTATCTTCGTACGAAGGAAGTGATCACGGGCCCTTTGAAAAGATGCCGACATGACTATCTTCTCGCTTCCTCGTCACCGAAGAATATTGGGAAACCCAGGATACCCCGGTCACCTCCATCGACGAAGGAGCACAACCCGTGCCCGCAGCCATCCCTTTCCCCCCTCACCACCTATTCAACCGCCTGTACAACCTGTCCAGCAGGCCACTCAATCCGTCACCCCAACCGCTTTTACAAACGCTCCGACGAGCTACACCTTCCCTCACCGCACAAGGATAGCTCCCCAGGTAACACCAGCTCCCCCTATTACCTACCCCAATTCAGTGGCGATTCCCCCAAGAGCCAAGTCAGATCCGCCACAATACACCCCATACCGCACATTGCCACCACGAGACGTGCCGAACACCCCGACCAATGCCCAGACTCTCGCCCTCTTCGTCAAGATTTGGAATAAGGAAGATACCTACTCAGGTCAACCTTACGATCTCCTTGACGATAAGATCAGGAACTTCCTAACCACCTGCCGTTCGGTTGAAGTCCCCGAGAGTCAGCTACACGCCTTTCTCCCCCGCGCCCTTACAGGTCGAGCAAAGACCTACTATGACCTTTATCTTGACCCAGACCTCACGTTCGCCGCCGCTTACCGACAACTTAAGCAACATTTCGATACCAACGTGAATCTGGAGCATTACCATACGGACTGGTCAACTATCACCTTCAACAGTGTCCGTAGCAAGCACAGTGACAAGGACCTCCACGCTGTGCTTGATATAATGCTTGACAAGCTCCAATTGTGTCAACGAGCGATTGGGCCGGAAATAGCTGGCGAAAGCAACCTCCGCAACGCAGTCATCCGCGCTTGCCGTGGAACGCCTGAGCTCAAGCAAGCCTTGTACAAAGCCCCCGCCCATTGCGAACAACTCTTTGCCGACCTCCGCGCCTCTATTGAACTTGCGATCACGGACAACGGTAGCACCCAATGGTATACCGACCGCAAGTATCAACAGAATAGACCCCCCTTCCGCAACAATAACAGCGCGAACCCCAAACGACAGCCGCAGAGAAAGAAGGCGTGCTTCATCTGCGGCAAAGCTGGCTGTTGGTCTACCAAGCATACCATAGAAGAACGGAAACAATCACGGATGTATTTCCTTAATGCCCACAATGCCTCCGACACGACCCCGGACTTCGCCATGTTCCTCGCCGAATTCGAAGGTCATGAACTTGACGAGACCCCTGTCCCTGACTATGATACTGCCAATGAAATTGACGATGAAGACCCAGCGATTGGCTCGCTGTTCTTCACGCAATCATTCCTCGCAGATTACGCTGTTTTACACCGTCTGACTAAGGAAGATGCCTATAGCGCTCCTCAAAGGCCCCGGCACAACAATTCCTTGTCGATGACCGTTACACAACGCGTTATCAGGGCATCATGCTCGACACAGGTGCTTCCGACGTTTCAACCGCTGGCCTAGACCAATTCCATGCCTGGCAGCGCGAAGACCACTGCGCTACCCTCGATACCACCCGCGCAGGCCAGGCAGGCATCTCCTTTGGAGATGGACCCCGGATTGTGTCTGTCGGTGCGACCGCGATTCGCACGGCATTCGGGCCCGTTGATTTCCACGTTCTTCCCACTAAGACCCGTTCCTCCTCTCCTAGCCGATATGGACCGGCTAGGCTTGTTTTTCAACAATCAGACCAACGAAGTCGTCCGCGATGACATTCGCGTTCCCGCAGTACGTAAATGGGGCCACGCATGGTTCCATCTAGGTGAAGAAGAGACTGCGAGAGTATTCCTGACCGAACGCGAATTGCGACGACTTCACCGACGATTCGGTCACCCGGCCACAGCTAGACTCCACCGACTGCTTAGATGTGCCGGGCATGATGATATTGATGAGCAGTCAATCCGTGAGATCACGAGGATGTGCCACCACTGTCAAATCAACGGCACCTCCCCAACGCTTCAGGTTTACCCTTAGAGACGACCGCGAGTTCAATTTCGAGATAACCGCGGATGTAGTCCAAATAGGCGGAAAGCCTGTGCTACACGTGATCGACGAAGCCACAGCGTTCCAAGGCGCCAGGTTCCTCCCTCGATGACCGCCCGAGACACCTGGGAAACGCTACGGATGCTGTGGATAGACACCTACCAAGGCCCCGGACTTTATGCGCCACGATGCCGGCACTAACTTTGCAGCAGAGGAGTTCCAAAAGAGGCATCGCTGATGGGTATCACTTGCAGGCAGGTGCCTATCGAAGCCCACAACTCGATTGGAAAGGTAGAAAAGGCACACGGCCCTCCGCCGCGCCTACGATATCCTCCAAGCAGAGTTGGGTGAGTCGAGAAGCCCAGATGCCCTCCTCCAAATGGCTGTAAAGGCAGTCAATGACACAGCCGGCCCGGATGGCCTTGTCCCTACCCTCCTCGTCTTCGGCGCATACCCACGAATCAACCACGATTCACCGCCCTCCCCTATGATCAAGCGCGCAGAGGCTATTCGGAAAGCCATGGCAGCCCTGCACCGTGCTGCCGCTGCCCGTCAGGTTAGAGATGCCCTCAACACGAGGAATGGACCAAATGTAGAGCGCGCTGCAGAGCTTCCTGCAGAGCGAGGTCCTCGTGTGGAGAGAGGCTGACGGCTGGACCGGCCCGTGGATCGTTATCGGCAATAACGGCCACGAAATAACAATCAATCATGTCAATGGCCCCCGCAACTTCAGGATCACAGCGGTCAAGAAATACCACCGTGATCCTCAGGCCCCCTCATCACAACCCCACGACGACTCGCAGCCAAATCCCCGACGAGTCGACCCCAATGCACCCCCTAACCCCGATCAAGATGATGCCCCTGCCCCTGTGCTCCTACCTGAACAACGCCGACGAGGACGCCCCAAAGGCTCCAAGAACAAGCCCAAGACCGGCGTAGCCAACCTGTCAAAGAAGGAAGTTAATCACTATGATCACGCTGTTCAATTGCGCCGCGAAGGCCACATCACCACACCAGGTGCCCCCTTTGAACAGTCCGATACCCAAGAGATTAACAACCTAATCGCACAGGGTGTGTTTGAGTTCATTCGTTTCGACCCCGTGGCCCACAAAGGCCAAAGACTCTTTAAAGCACGCATGGTCCGCGAAGTTAAAGGACTCGGACCAACCACAAGGCCCTACGAGAAATCCCGTCTCGTCATTCAAGGCTATAACGATCGTGATAAAGGGAATATCCTTACCCAGTCGCCGACCGTGCAACGGGCAGCACAGCGGCTACTCCTCTCAATTGCCCCCTCCCTCGCAGGTGAAGCCTCCGTCTTCCTGCGTGATATCACACAAGCATATATTCAGTCCAAAACCCCCCTGAATCGTACGATACTCGCACGCCTCCCAGCGGAATTAGTGCCCCGCTATCCCCCAGACACCATCATCCATGTCATCCTTCCCCTGTATGGCATAGCAGAGTCAGGTCTCCATTGGTTCGTGACATATTATAGGCATCATCGTGAGCGCCTCGGTATGACACATTCCACCTTTGACCCCTGCTTGTTGATCTCCAATGATCAAGCCGCCGGCTTCGGCATGGTCGCTATGCAGACGGATGACACCCTCCTCCTCGCCTCCCCTGAGTTCGCGGCCGCAGAAGAAAGAGAGATCCAGAAGGCTAAGCTCCGCTCGAAACCAAGGAGCCAGCTATCGGCCGCGACTCCCCTCGAGTTTAATGGTTGCACACTTCTAGCCGAAAAGACGACCTTATCATCCAGCAGAAGGGCCAAGGCCAGAAGTTAGCCACCATCTTTCTCTCCTCCACGGATCGCGCGCAGCAATACGCCCAACAGCGCGCGCGAGCATATATCGCATCAATCTGCCAGCCCGAGGCCACGTTCGACTACTCAGTCGCAGCACAAGTGCAGCAGCCGGAAGCCCCGGACTACAAGACCCTGAACAAGCGGATACAATGGCAGACCGACAACCTGCAACGAGGACTCCGCTATGTTCCCTTGGCCTTTTCGACTGCGAAGCTAATGGTATTCACGGACGGTTCGTTCGCGAACAACAAAGACCTAAGCTCACAACTGGGCTTTGTTATTGTGCTCGCCAACGAGGAACAGAGCCCTGCTGATTTCACGATCAGAGGCAATGTCCTGCACTGGTCATCTACGAAGAGCAAGCGAGTGACCCGGAGCGTGCTAGCCTCGGAGATCTACGGCATGGTCCAAGGTTTCGATATGGCCATTGTCATCGCGACCACCCTGCAGGCTATTGTCAAGCAGCTGGACCTACCCCGACTCCTCATTGTCTGCACCGACTCATACTCGCTATACGAATGCCTCGTAAAGCTCGGGACCACGAAAGAGAAGCGACTCATGATTGATATCATGGCGCTAAGGCAGTCCTACGAGCAGCGCGAGATGGCAGAGATCCGTTGGATCAATGGGGATGACAACCCGGCTGATGCGATGACCAAGCAGCACCCAACCGTGCTTTGGAACGGTTGATTGAGACGAACAGGCTGACGATTCGAGTGGAAGGATATGTACAACGACCCGTGACCGCAGACACCACCTAACGACAAACGACTCCATGATGACGAGCCTCCCTTCATTGAGACCGGAATGAAGGGCAGGCACGGCAGTCTTCGGATTCCATCACGAAAAGAAAAGACTGCCTGTGTTGGAATACTAACCTGCTGAGTAACCCGTGCAATCGGGATACCATCACGGTTCATGCACGACTCCCACGTGACACCCTACCCCGCGATCAGGGCACGCAGCCCGGCTGCATGCCCCCATTACCGGTGCACATTCCGTTTCTTGTGAATAGCTTCCTCTTCCCTAGTTAGTTACAATTGAAGTCATCACCGGTTACCCTACCTGTCGTGACTGTGACTCAGCCTACAGCTTGTGCGCATGCGTATCTGTAGGCACATAGGTGCCTACCATCATATACCGCTGTACAGCCCCCAGCAAGCTGATTCGAAAAACGCGTTCAGATCCCTCAACATCTCAATACTGCGCGAACAATTGGAAGTGACACGAATCGAGTCAGCTCGCGATTTGGAGGCTGTTAGGGACTTATCTACTCCTCGAGCCCAATATGACTGCTACTTGTTTGTCCATACAAATTAGCCGATCAGGAAGTACCCGAAAAATCTGCATGATAAGGATATATTGTGCCAACTAGCCGCGTTCAGACGCGTTATTTCCGCTCAGTTGACCACCTGTTAATTCTACTGCTGTCGGAAAGACAGGGTCGTCAGCCCATCCACCTTTGCCTGCGTGGCGCAACGGTCTTCGCGACAACTGCCACGACATTATTTTACCACGACCTCGCCTAATTCCTGCTTCGATATTCCGACAGCGGCTTCGGATCAGCCCCCGAATCAACGCCCTGACCGACGACCTATCCTACCCGTTCAACCCCGACTCCTTGACACTTTATTGTGGTTTATTTGGTGTCGTTCCGACTACCTGTGTCGCGTCCATTCTCGAGCCTTTCAGCCAAGATCAGGTAAAACTTCATTACTCTCAAATCTACCCTCCTTATTTAATTACCTTACGAGTGGATAGCTAATTATAACATGATACGTAGTATGGCCCTGCTGAAACAAAAACATCTGCCGCAGCGAATTTCTTTGCTCCAAGGACCCGGCGTAAATTGCCAACGCAGAATTATGCCCGCATCGAACGTCCTCAATTCAACCTCGGAATCCCGCGCGCGCGCTGATTCTAGCGCAACTCCGGCTCCTTCCTCTCCTCTTCCAACTGGCGAAGATACAATTGTCTGCGCGCCCCCGGGTCATCCTGACTGTGAGTCAGATGATGACATGCCCGACGCGGATACACCAGAGCCGCCATTGAACAGTAGTCATATGACGCTCGCAGAGAAAGCCGGACTTATCAAGAAGTGGGCCGACAACAAACAAAAGCATGTTCGCAAGAAGAGAGACAAGAACAGCCACGTCTATTGGTATATGCAGAGGAAGCTATAGACAGAAGCTTTTACTCAGAGGATAAGGATGGGCCGAAGATCTTCCAAGAGTTCCGGTGGACTTGTATAGAGTGCCTTCAAAATCCCAATACTCTTCGGAAGAGATTCCAGGTCCTCGAATCGAACCGCCGAGGGTTACCTCTGGCATGGGAGACCATTTAAAAATCCACGGTATTACGAAGGAATCTCACCACGCTCGAATTAATGGATACGGCCGCGCCATTGGTGGAGGAGATTATACAGAGGCAGACGCATGGAGCGGTCGACCTAGGCAGAGAGCAAGACTCACGGCAAAGGAGTCTATCCGCCGGTGGTTTGTAAAACACCGACAACCCTTCTCTGTTGTCGAGACTCCTGCTTTTCAAGAGATGTTCTTGGCTCACAACACAACATGTGTGTACAGGAGTCGTATAACGTTACGCAATCATATATATACAGACTTTGTCGAACGCAGGAGAAGCTGAAGATTGAGCTTGAGTACAATTGTGCCACCATCTCGTTCACCCTTGATATCTGGACAGCACCGAATCGGGTGCCCATTTTCGCCATTATTGCGCACTGGATTACACCGGAGTTTGAGGAGAGAGAGGAAGTTATTGAGTTTATTGAGCTCAAAAGATCTCACACTGGCAAACAATTAGCTGAGATAGTTGAGAGGACGCTTGAGGAGCTCAGGCTCAAGCCTAAGCTTCTCGCCATTACGGGAGACAACGCCGGCAATAACGGCACGCTCTGTCAGTCTTTGTACGATTCTCTCAAGACCAAATTCGACGACAAGGTGAGCCCAATAGGAGGCCCCGCATGCGCTTTCACGGCAGGAAGAGTTGGATCCGCTGTCTAGCTCATATTACCTCGCTCATTTGTGAGGGCGTCTTGCAAGATCTCAAAGCAGGCACAGCGAAGGAAGCCAAGAAGATGCTTGACAAGTGGGACGAAGAGAATAAAAGCAACAACTACACCATTCCGGGAGACTCTAGTCGAAGTGGGATTGCCAAAATCCGCCTCCTCAATCTCTGGATGTTGAGATCCGGGTCTAGGGAGCAAGACTTCAAAAGCATGCCGCGCACGCACTACCGGAAGCCAACCTACGATGTCGACACTCGCTGGAATTCGGCCTACGACATGATTGACCAATTCCTCGAGCTTGAGGCAGAGTATACTGAGTTCGTTGATACTCACCCGCAAGTCAAGTGCCTCCTGCCCTTATCAGAAGAGATTGTCGCTCTCTATCAACTGCGGAAGGTTCTGAAGCCGTTTAAAGACCACACTCTGAAAGTCTCCGAAGTTATGCCGCCGATCTCACAAAGTCTCGATATCTATTGGGATTTGGAAGCTCTCCTTGATGATGTAGTCGAAGGAGTTGGCGACTTTACAGACCTTGATATGTCCATTCGAGACGCCTTCTCGAAGGGCAAAGCAAAACACGTTACTTATATGAAGAAGCTTGACGATCAAATGATGCTATTCGCAGCTCACATCCTGGATCCGCGTTATAAAACTCACCAATTGGAAATGATGATACCGGATCAATACTCTGAGATTATGGCTAAAGTCAAGAAGTATTTCAAAACGGAGTGGCCGGAGCTAGCAGCATTGAATGCCACAAACTCAACTATGAGCCAATCCAGACCAGCTGAGCGTCCTCAAGGAGTCTCCATTGCGCAATGGAGAGCCATCCAAATGAAGAAGGCGAGGAGGCGGAGACGGGCGCGGCGATCCCTATTTCGGAGCTTGAACGGTGGCTTGCAGCTCCTCGAATAGAGTTCGACGAGTCTATTGCAAAGTCTCCAGACTTCCTACTGAAGTGGTGGAAAGAACACAAGGTCGAGTGGCCACTTTTGGCTGCGGCGGCGCGTGATCTTCTCTCTGTCTCTGGCTCTGAAGTTGACGTGGAACGCCTCTTCAGCGGTTGTAGAGACGAATTCGGTATCCGCCGTCACGCCTTGAAGGCAGATACGGTGCGAGTACTAACACTTTTACGGAGTGCTTATACTCAGGAAGATAAGATCGATCAGGCGTTGATCAAGGCGGCCATGGAGTATGACATCCTGCCCTTTGCCAATAGTATTATTTGGAGACCAGACCACATTCCGGGCAAGCTGGAAGATGGTATGTATGGATATACCCTCATTATATATGTAGGTATATGCTAATCTGTGTTCAGGCGAGAATCCTCCTCAACCTCTTCCTCCCACCGAGGCTCCCACCGAACCCCTACCCCAAACCTCCTGCATCCCAAGCCGATAAGTCTGCGATATCAACCCCCTGTCTAGATACAATGGAGGCTTCGGAGGATTGGGGCTCTAAGAGTGTAGCCGTGTACAGTGGCGGATTCGAACGCGTTGTACCGACGTATTTTGAGGATTCGGCAGAGCTTTGAAAGTGCTTATTTTCAGTCGATTTGCCTAGGACAGGCGGATCAGTATTTATGTAAGTTAATTTTTGTAGTATTCGGGATTATCGACTTCTTAGAAGGCTATAACTTAAAACTATATACTACTTATTGGCGTTTTTGAGGCATCTTTGCAATCGCTCAGGTACACACCAAATTCACTTCGTTTAGGGATCCTTCAAACCATTCATGAATGGTTTGAATTGGCCCAAACCCAACTTGAATCGCGAAAATTGGAGCTTGAAGATTTTGAATCAAGATCCAAAAAATTCAATTCATTTGATTCATCCTTCATTCAAAATCTTCAAAATCTTCACCTTCGTCTATCACCCCTACGCAGGGTCGTGACACTACCCCCCGTCTAAGGCCTTGATATGCGTATCAAGGTAGTCAGTCGTGGCGGCGGGTTCTTGGTTTCACGGCTTTCTCTGCTGTGTCATCATCGTCTCGTTCCTCGCAGCCCTCCTCCGCTGCAGCACATTCGATCCAGTATTGCAGGTTGACGGGTGGGCCTGCTGCGTCCGGATGTTCATCGTGGAATACCTTCAATGCTATTGGTGCGTTACGGAAATTCCTAGCCGGGTACCAGGTCTCATCAGGTCACATCCCTTCCATAAGACCTGGTATTCCAGTCGTCGACTCCTACCGGTTACTCGAGACTGCTGGACTTGATCAACCTCCCACTCGGGTTCTCCGTTGATCTCCTCGGGTGGCGGAGGTGTCTGGATCTGCTGGGGCAAGGGGTTATCGGCTGCTTTTCGAAGACGGTCGGCGTGGAATAGGTTCTTCATTTTGTACGACTCGGGCAGCTGCAGTACGTAGCTATGACCGCGTTCTTCCAGGATTACGAACGGACCTGACCATTGGTTATCTAGCCGAGTAGTCGGAGCGTTCGTGGCGAAGCCTTTCCTGCTGAGAAAACTCGGTCACCGATGGCAAAGTCGGTTGGTCGTCGTTTCCTATTAGCCTGTTCCTTCTGACGTTCTTGAGCGGCGATGGCAGCATTCCTGGCGTCTTCCTGGGTTTCCTGGGCGGTCTGCACAAGTTCCTAGCTCTGGCGGCGGGTCCGGTGGCAGCGGTCTTGTTAGTCGGGGGCAGTGACAGGGGGTTCCGGATATCTCGGCCTAGGGCTACTTTTAACGGTGCCATGTCGATGGAAGAGTGCCAAGACGAGTTATGGGCGAAGTCGAGGGCGGGCAGCAGGAACTCCAGTTGTCTTGATGCTTCGTCACGTAGAATCGTAGCTTTGATCCAGGTATTGATTTGTGACTTCTACACCCCTTGGGTCTGAGGGTGTAGGAGCTTCCATGACGATGCTTCGTTCCCGTGAGCCGGTTAATCTCTGCGAGGAAGGCAGAAATAAACTGTCCAGCGTTGTCAGAAATCCATACGAGGGGCATACCGAAGAAACGATAGAGGTAGCGGAAGTAGCGGCTAGCTAAGACTTCTGCTGTATCGTTTTCTTTCCTGGGAGCGTGGCGATAATCCGGCTTAGCTTGCAGACGAAGGTCCAAACATAGTCATATCCGTAACGGTCTTTCGGCATATCCTTCCCGTCACATTCGACGTGCTCCCAAACAGAAGTCGGCACGGGCAGTGGATGGAGCAGTCCAGGGGTCTTGTCTCGAGGGGTTTTGTTGCGGCGGCAGTCGTGGCAGTTCCGAATATAACGACGGATATCCTCCTTCATCCTTGGCCAGTAGAAGTCTCGTTGGAGCAGCTTGATCACCTTGTTCTGTCCGGCGTGAGCGAAGATCTGGGGCTCGTGGGCTTCGCGAATGAGCGCGGTCTGAAGAAACGTCTGCTTGTCTGAGGTCTGGGCTGGTACGATCAGGTGTGTTCCATGGGTGCCGAGGTCTTGGAGGAGGTTCTCTTGGCGGATCAACGAAACGAGTTCGGCTCCCTTCGGGACCGAGTTCGGGTCTAGTTCTGGGCGGTCTTGATCGGGCGTCTGCTGTATCCTTGGTCTTCTGGGGTCTGTAGGGCACTCGTGGCCCTCAGAACTAATGGTCTGGTAGGCTTAGGTTCGGGACTAAAGTTCTGAGGGGCAGGTGGCCGGCGGCCGTAGGGTCTAGAGAGTCGGTCGCGAAGCCTAGCCTTTCCGGAGGGATCAGGGTCACCGTGCGTTCCTCGGCTTCCCGGGCCTTTACGGTAGGAAGCTCGGCTGTCTTCCTGGAGAGGGCATCGGCGACTACGTTCAGTCGACCGGGGCGGTAGAGGAAACGGATGTCGAACTGGGCGAGAAAGTCGGACCATCTGATCTGTCGTACCGAGAGCAGGCGCTTCGTAGAGAAATGGACTAAGGCTTCGTGGTCGGTGATCACATCGAACTTCTGGCCTAAGAGCTCTGGGTAGAAGTGCTCTAGACTCTGTACGACGGCGAGGAGCTCTCGATCTTGGATTGGGTAGGCTCGCTCGGCCGGGGTCATGGTCTTAGAGAAGAATCCAACGGGCTTCCAGGTCTGATCAGGCTGTTCCTGCCATAGAACACCAGCTGTGGCATTCCGGGAGGCATCGGTCTCCAGTCGGGTCGGCAGTTCTGGTCTAAAGAAGGCGAGGACCGGGGCTTCGATAGCCAGGCGCTTGAGTTGATCAAATGCTTCGCGTTGCTCCGGGCCCATCACAAAGGCAACATCCTTCTTAAGCAACCGGTTCAAGGGTTCTGCCACTCCAGAGGCGTGGTAGCAGAAAACACGGATGAAGTTGCATAGGCCAACGAATGATCGGATCGCGGTGCGGTCTCGGAGGTCCTCAAACTTCCAGTCTTGTATCGATCGAACTTTCCGAGGGTCGACACTAAGGCCCACACCGGCTTCAAGCAGAACGCCGAGGTAGTCAACCTTGGTCACGTTAAATCTAGACTTCTTGATGTCTCCTGGAGGTTTGCCTGATGGAGTCGCCAGATCACTTCTTGACAGTCTTTCCAGTGGTCTTCTTCTTTATCCGAGTAGATCAGGACGTCATCTGCGTAGGCGCTGGCGCACCGGTCGAGGAGATCGTGAAGCTGCGCGTTGATAAACTGCTGGAACCAGGCGGGACCTACCTTCAGACCGAACGGGAGGACTTTCCAGCGGAAAGTTCCGAAACGGGTGCGAAAGGCGGTCAAATACTCGGAGTCAGGGTCCATGCGGAGACGGTGGAAGGCCTGGATCACATCGATCTTCGTGAAGCGTTGAGCTTCACGGCAACCGAAAGCAGTACCTTCGAGGGACGGAGCGGGCGTGATGCGACTTTTAAGATGATCGTTCATCCAACGGTAGTCGATGCAGAAGCGGCGTGCGGACTCGGATCGGGCTCGATGAAGTCTATCTCCCGGAGGTGATCGACAGTCTCTTTCTCTAGAGGCAGATACTTAACGGGCGTGCGGTACGATGGGGGTCCTGTCGGCGAAAGAGGCTTCTCAAGCTCTAGGACTACATCGTGACCGGGTCGGCTCGAAGGTAGGGTGTGGGCCTCTTTCTTCGAGAAGAATCACTCTAGATGGGTGAGCTGGGGCGGTAGACGACTACGGACACAAGCAACATGCTCAGGGTCTTCTCCTGAGGGAACGGAATGCTTTGTCCCTGGTAGGTCTTTTGATCCGGGAGACTTTAGCAACGGTTCGAGCACTAGGGACGGTCTGGTCAAGGCCGGAGCTTGGCTCGAGCTGGACTGGATCCCGGGGCATCAACGGTTCGAGTTCGTTCCACTGTTCGAATCTCTCGTGAGACTCTACTTGGCAGACCAGGGCGTTAATCAGGGCTTGATCTTCGGAGGCTTGGATCGAGGCGACGGAGACGAAGTCGGTAGCAGGGGCGGTCGTGAGCTGAAAACGGACAGACTTCTTGGCAGACGGAGACTTGGACTGAAACGACGGAGACGGAGTCGGTAACGGGGTCGGGACAGAGGCCGGAGGAGTTTGATCAGAGCGGCCCCAGTTCTTGTGGAGGATCCGGTAGCGTTTCTCCTCTTTCTCGAGCAGGCGGTTCCGCCTCTCAGCGTCGGCCTGGATCTTAGGGTCGATCCGACCCGAGAGCGGGGCTTGACGAGAGAGCTGGATCGTCGGGAGAACTTGGCGAGGCAGGAAGATCATCTGGCCAGATGATCTGTCGGGCGGCGCAGTCAAGCAGGAGGCGCTTCTCCGCATCCAGAAAAGACCGATAAAGATATCATGGCCACACTCAGCTATATCAAATGTCTCGTTTGCGAACGAACGGCCATCGATGACGAAAGTGGCGACCAGCTGTTTCTGGATATAGCCGGCTGGCTTTCCACGGAAGTCTTGGAGGGGAATCCGACTCGGGAGCTCCTTAATCTGGGCTCCGAGTCTTTGGGCGGCGGACTGGGCGAAGGTTGGGCTAACCAGCAAACGGGTTTCGGCTCCGGTATCACAGAGGGAGCGGGCAGGTAGGCTCACACCATCCACTTGGACTTGACTTGGCAGAGTGAATGACTTGCTAGACCTACTCGCTGTCTGTGACACCTTAGGGACCATCAAGGAGTCTTGTGATGGTCCTATTCGTTTCCCGAATCTTGATCAGAGTCGTTGGCAGGGACAGGGACGGAGGCGACACGGGAGACAGCATGGGTGCGGTCGGGACACTCGCGAGAGAGGTGCCCTGTTTTTCCACAAATAAAGCAGGTGCCATTATCCCAATGGACCCTTTTCTCATCGTCGGTCAAGGCTCTGCCAGCATCACGCGAGGTGATAGGGGTCGAGCCGGTCTTGTTCGGAGTCTTGGCGGTAGTCGGAGCAGTCTTAGTCGGCGCGCGGCGAGATCGGTCGGAAGAGCGGGAGTCCTGTGTCTGCCTCATACTCCTCTTCTGGCAGTGGACAGCGTCTTTAATGAACCCACAGAAAACCTCGTAGGTCACGGACTCGTCGCGGGTCTTGGTCAAGAGGCTGTTATCTAGGTTGGCCGGGATGTGCTGCCACAGGGTATGCTTCATCTGGTCCTCGGGCACGACCGGTCGCAGTTAAGTAGTCAAATTCCGCAAGAAAGTCCACAATGTCGGTCTTCCCATTCACGGTAAACTGGAGGCGTTGCAGGCGGTCAAGAGCCTCGGAAAGCTCATTCGGATTGCCATAGGCGGACTCAAGGGCTTGGATCATCTCTGCCACTCCAGAGAAGGGTCGAGTGTCAGAGGAGAAGCGGGTTTCAAGTGCTCGGCGGGCTTTTCCTCGAGCAGGTTATACAGACAGACCATCCGGCTGTTCTCAGTCCGGAAGGTTCGCACGTCTTCGTCAAATTTGTTCTTTATGCTCAGGATGAAGGAATGGAACTCGTCCTTCTTCCCTGAGAACGTCGCGAGACCTTGATGCGCGATTTGGCGGCGTCGCTGTACTCGGGGTTCTTGCCCTCTGGGAAGGGGGCAAAATAGGCCAGGCAGCTTTGCCTGTTGGTCGGAAGGCCGGGCCATTTGGGCCGGCAAAAGCAGTCGAGGCTCCCGGTGCTGTCGATTTGATTCAACAGACGGAGAGCGTTCATTTAGACGGGCCGTTAAGGCCGCATCTGTTCTCTCATCTCGCGGATGAGAGCGTCTTGGGGGTTCGGGGCAGCCATGGCTACTATTTCGGATTCAGTGGCTTGGCCAGCAAGCCGGGTGGAACGGCGAGGCTGATCCGATGGCAGGGCTTCCTCAGATATCATAGTCTCGAGGTCAGAGTCTAGGGTCGGAAATGATACCACGCGGAATCACGGTCAGATGCCTGCACGAGCAGGGACGGTCGGAGGTCAGACGGGACGAATCCTTGGTCGGAACGGTTGGTCGGACGACTACACACACGCGTAGTCTTGGTCGGAACGGACGTGATCTCAGCCTTGAGGATCACTTGGTCGGTGGTCGGAGTCTTGGTCGGAACGGTCAGAACGGATGCGCTGGATTTACGTCAGGCGCGTGTGACGTGAAAGCTCGGTGCCTATTTGCTTAATCGCTGGCAAGCGATCTTATTGAGCTTTGAGTAGTGTTACGGCCAGGCACATACGAGCCTTGACGGCTATAAAGATGTATTGGCACTATGAACAAAGACTCAAAGCTAAGGAGCAAGAAAGGAAGACTAGACTACACGACCGAGCGGGCCCTTATATAGACACGAGGTCGCGCGTGGGCACGTGATGCTGCTTGGGCACGTGACACTGGTGAGGTTCTGCGCTGGCGGCTCTACGCTGGCGCCCAGGGTCGTGACATAGGCGGACTCAAGGGCTTGGATCATCTCTGCCACTCCAGAGAAGGGTCGAGTGTCAGAGGAGAAGCGGGTTTCAAGTGCTCGGCGGGCTTTTCCCTCGAGCAGGTTATACAGACAGACCATCCGGCTGTTCTCAGTCCGGAAGGTTCGTACGTCTTCGTCAAATTTGTTCTTTATGCTCAGGATGAAGGAATGGAACTTGTCCTTCTTCCCTGAGAACGTCGCGGAGACCTTGATGCGCGATTTGGCGGCGTCGCTGTATTCGGGGTTCTTGCCCTCTGGGAAGGGGGCAAAAACCGGCCAGGCAGCTTTGCCTGTTGGTCGGAAGGTCGGGCCATTTGGGCCGGCAAAAGCAGTCGAGGGCTCCCGGTGCTGTCGATTTGATTCAACAGACGGAGAGCGTTCATTTAGACGGGCCGTTAAGGCCGCAATCTGTCCCCTCATCTCGCGGATGAGAGCGTCTTGGGGGCTCGGGGCAGCCATGGCTACTATTTCGGATTCAGTGGCTTGGCCAGCAAGCCGGGCAGAACGGCGAGGCTGATCCGAGGGCAGGGCTTCCTCGGATATCATAGTCTCGAGGTCAGAGTCTAGGGTCGGAAATGATACCACGCGGAATCACGGTCAGATGCCTGCACGAGCAGGGACGGTCGGAGGTCAGACGGGACGAATCCCTTGGTCGGAACGGTTGGTCGGACGACTACACACACGCGTAGTCTTTGTCGGAACGGTCGTGATCTCAGCCTTGAGGATCACTTGGTCGGTGGTCGGAGTCTTGGTCGGAACGGTCGTGATCTCAGCCTTGAGGATCACTTGGTCGGTGGTCGGAGTCTTGGTCGGAACGATCAGAACGGATGCGCTGGATTTACGTCAGGCGCGTGTGACGTGAAAGCTCGGTGCCTATTTGCTTAATCGCTGGCAAGCGATCTTATTGAGCTTTGAGTAGTGTTACGGCCAGGCACATACGAGCCTTGACGGCTATAAAGATGTATTGGCACTATGAACAAAGACTCAAAGCTAAGGAGCAAGAAAGAAAGACTAGACTACACGACCGAGCTGGCCCTTATGTGCATCTGCACGAGGTTACCTCAGCAGCGCTCAGGTAAGCACGAGGTCGCACGTGGGCACGTGATGCTGCTTGGGCACGTGACACTGGTGAGGTTCTGCGCTGGTGTCTCTACGCTGGCGCGCAGGGTCGTGACACCGTACACTAGGAACGAACGTACCGGCCCTTTCATCACTGTTCCCAACACCGTTATAGTTGGTAACGATATATGTACTGGCATCGCCAGTTGCTGTTACTGGCATGCCAACAAACTGTCCCATCTCCGTTGCTGCTGATTGATCTAAAATGCCGCGCTTCGTGCCGAAAAGCTGTTGCAATGCTTTCTCTAGTCCTCGAGCAGGATACCTGCAGTCATATGCTAGGGATAGCAGAATCTGCCAAAAGACACGAATAGGAGGAAGCCATGCTAGAGGAAGTTGAGACACACCGAGGCCTGAAGGCTAACTTCGCTATCGCTTCAGAAGAAGCTATGCAATCTTCTATTGGCCAACCGTTGATGAAAAGTCCGCAAACGCTGATGGCCCCTGGTTTGATAAGCTTCTGTTGCGCGAGCGGTAGAACGGCAGTACTGTACCTGAGCTAGTTCCGTAGGCAACCTCGAAGTGGTTTTGGACGGGGTATGGCAGCCTGACGGAGTTATGTATTTCCTGGAGGAAGGTTAAAGGTATGCGCGCACGAGTCCCTCCCCCATCTATGCTCAGAACACGGACTGATGCTGTGTCTGGTTTGATCGTTATTCGAAAACCTAAGCTGTCCATCCCACACAAGAGACAAGAGTAAAGGTATAGCTTGCTGTCATCTTTATGCAGAGTTGGAAATCGATCTTATAGATCGATTTTCGAGCCTGATCGATCGAATTTTATCGATCGTCACCTTCAATCGATCGATATCGATCGATCGCTGTTTGATTCGAATCGATCGACGATCGAATCGATCAATACTAAAAATCATCCCTATCTAGGTGATCTTGCCCATCAGTTGAAGAACTTGCCTCCAATTGTCCCCTTCAAGCAGACCAAGAGGAAGTGTCGGCTGATAGATGCCAGCTTTACTCCAGGAACGAAGACACTGCGCCATCGCCACAATATGGCGTCGTAGGCGAGATCTCAGTGGTGTTATCATCCTCCCACAGCTGCTAAAATCTCTTTCCGTTCCTGCTGAAGACGACGCGATGGTAAGGTAGTCAACAGCCATATAAGACAGCCGAGGAAACCGCGCAACACCAACGTCCTTCCACCAAGCGATTGGGTCCGTTTTGTATGCGATATTTTCCACCGGCGGCTCTGATAGGTACTGATCAAGCTCGTCCTGTTCTTGCAAGGCGGTTGACTGCTTTGGTCCTTTAATTTGCCGCCCTCGAGGCTCAGGGCAAGCCAATGATCGACTAAACGCCAATCGACGCTCAATATAGTCCAAGCCACTATTAGTCGTATCCGCTGAAACACCATCGCAGGATTGCCGATGAGCCATGTTCTTGTACCTCTCTTTCCAGACTGTCGCTAAGCTTCTCGCATATGTTCTTTCCCACTCCGACGTCTGACGAGACGGGAGTTGGCTCCAAAGCCGTTCCAGAGCGCGCCACTTCTTGCAGGGTGGAACACCACTGCCGCTACATATGCGGTTGAGGTCAGCTTGCTATAGTAGTCGTTCAGCTTCTTCCATCCGAGCTTGATGTAAATCTTCAAAACCCTGCGAGTTCTTGCGTCCATGTCATTGAACAGGTGAACCTCTTTCATGGTCTGATCTTCGTTCTCTTCGATTATAACTCCTGAACTGCTAGTTCGAGGTGGTCAAGGAGCATCTCTACCACCGGAAGTACTCATCGAACCCTCCTGACGTGGAGCGTTTACCAGCAATACCCTCGCCCTGGAGTTGCTTCGAGGCGATCTTGAATGGCTGAAGGATCTTCTGAACCGCAACAACGACCTTCCATTCTTCAAGGGAAAGTTGTTCTTTCAGTATCGCTGGTTTGTCCTGTTCTTTGCCGCCTTTGCCAAGCCATCGTTCCTCGATGATGGAAAACATCCTGTTCAAAGCCGTACGCTTCAGCAGAGCGCGTGAGGCCATCGCCTCATCGGATTGCCAGCGAGTGCAGACGTTTTGAACCCACGTAAGAATAGGTTCAGTAGGAGCGGTTTGCCGTTGAGCTTCGTAAAAGACCTCGAGAAGTTGACTGCTCGTTCGAAGAGCAATGCCAATATTGTGAAGTTTGCCAAATGGCCCAAACTTGCGGTACTTGTCCACTTCTTCGCCATTGATGATGTCGGGCAGTACGTCCTGATCCTGACTGCCTTCTGGGACTGTTTCAACCTCGAATCCTTCTTCCATGCTCGGCACACAGAAGTCGTCGTCGGTCGCCAGCTCATTGATAGCGTCGGACAACTGGCGCTGCTCTTCCTCTTCAGCCACAAAGTCCTTATCGCCCCAATGAGCAAGCAACTCGTTGAAATTATCCCTTTGCTGCCGTACATCATAGCCCTGACGGCCAGGTTCAGAAAATGAGGGCGCAGCGGATGCGACGCTCTTCCGATCGAAATCGAACTCAGCGGCAAGCGCTTCCACAGCCGTATCATTATTCGTAGCGTTGTCAAGCGTGTAGTACCCGATTCTGACGCCGGATAACAGTCAAGATTGTCAGCTAACGGACCCAAGAAGTGTTGACTGTGGTTCTATACCTGTCTTCAAGACCAAACGCGCATATTGTATCTGCAACTTCATCTGCAAGCGCTGCTCCAGTATGGCGTTTCGCGAGAGCCGGCAAAGCCAAGAGGATTCCCATTGGTTCCAATCTTGGTCGATAAAGTGGGCGTTGATACCGAGGAATGATGTGTTTTGTCGGGAAGTCCAGCCATCAAAGGTAAAATGAATCATACTTCTCGCTCTTTGAAGCAGCTCGCAAAGCGGACCAAGAGCGCGATTATACTCATCTAGTAGCAGATTCACAAGCGTTTTGCCAGTTGGTATCTGGCCTTCCTGGAGAGCCGGGTTGTTGTAGAGAAGGAGTCGTCTGAAGCGCTCAGAGTTTACGACATTAAAGGGGAGGTTATGATATGTAAGCCAGTCGAGCAGGAGCAGTTGATTCATCTTCGGATCGAATAACGTATGCAGATTGCTGAGAAGAGTCTGATCTCGAGGGTTCGTCGGATCGGCGCGAAGCATATCAAGCAGGTTCCGTTCTGCACCTCCACTCCCGGTAACTGAGCCTGCACGTTGTCTAGAAGGTGGCTGACAAGTTAGCGGGCATGATCGAACGACGTGGAGATGGGGTACGGAGAGGTGGCACAAACCACGACTTTGTGCTCCTTCCTCAGATGTCGGACGACGCTTCCCCCAGTCGAAGCGATGAAGACGTAATGTGCTGTCTTCGGCCTGTCCCGGAGGAAGCATCTCTCGCAGATCCATACGATCTTGTGGGGCCGTGACCTGTTGTCCTTCATTCTGAATCCGAATTGCCACCACCACGTCCGTTCTCGAGAAGGGTCGTGGCAAATCGTGAGCCGGGGAACCGCCCAAATTTATCAGTCGTCCAAGCTTCATAATCTGAAACCCCATGGGTGCATATTTAGTTGATGCTGAACTGGTTGTCGGCTCGGAAGGCGGCGGCGTGGAGGAGGCGATCTCTATGTCCTCATCAAGCGCGTCCATGGTGGGAAACGTCCGTAAACAATGTGGGCGAGGTCAAATCGAAGGGTGCGAGGCTGATAAGGTCGAATCTGTATGAAGTCTACTCGGACAGGCTGAGGCCCGAAATAATTCCTGGTTGCGACGCGTACTGATTCCGTTGAACGGGAGGACTTGCAAACGCAAGAGACGGAGAGATCAATTTACTTTTGTCGACACGCGACGCGCGGCAACAAGATAGATATGACTGGCTGCCTGGGACCCCCGGTCGTTTGCCAGGGTGTTTGGCAGACGCGTCGGGCGGCAGCATCGTCACGCATCCAACCTACGCAGCCTACCCTGGACACCTTGTATGGACATGGCGAACGACGATCAAATCGATCGATTGGAGGTTGGATCGATACGATATCGATCGAGCAGGACTTCTAATCGATCGATCGAAATCGAAATCGATTCGATTAATCGATTCGATCAAATCGATTGTACGATCGATTTCCAAGCCTGTCTTTATGGCCAAAGACCTTCAGGCAATTCAGGCACACGAGGTGACCACAAGGTAGCTTGTACATCGGACGCCGAAAGAGACAGCTGAAACATGTATCTTCGGAATAAAACCGTATCCAGTCTTGTCGAAACCGCGCCAGTTGCTCGCGATGGAAAGTTGCAGCAGGCTTGCCATAAGACAGGTACGATTCAAATTGAGAGAGTAGCTCTATTGGGAGCGACATAATAAAGGCTTACCATGCATTCGCGGTACATACTGATCCAGTATGAAGCTGGAGGCCAGGACCGGTATGGCGAAATTCTTCAGATTCTCTAGAGAATCAAATCTCCGAGGAAGTCTTTCAAATAGGTCGATAGTTTCTCGGGCACCGTGTTATTTGAGCGAGAGCTTCTACGAAGTCGAATGGCTCTAGTTGACTTAATTGCTGTTTGGCGGCGCAGTGCACAAGGCGTGCGAGGTGCGTCGCAGAGAACAACATGTGATTGCAACCACGCGATTTCTGCATGTCAATGACAGAGCTATATAGCTCGTTCTTGAATTGATCCCAGCTAGTATGATGATAGGTTCGGCTTCTTCTTAGCCTTACCCATGTAGAAAGACCTACGAGGCGGATTTTCTTGCAACGGTTGTAGGGATCCATGGAGTTTTGAGACCGCAAAAGATCTTGGAACTCGGTATACTCGTGTACACCTAGTTCCTTCTCTGTAACCAGAAGGATATGGGGTAGAATATAAGGCGTAGAGGGCTGTCCTTTGTCGATCCAACGCGAGATCTGCTGAACTGCATCTGCGATGCCGCCAAGATCGTCGGTGAATAGACATACGACGTCTGAGAAAGGAAACAGTATGCGATAATGGACGCCAGCAGCCAGGCAAGCATATTTCAGAGAACCATTCTCGTCGTTCATCGGTAAGCTGTATTCGATGGTCTCATGACATCGTTGAGGCTGGCCAGAGCTTTGGAGTCGATTGTGGGACGGAATGTCCGTCTCCGCTAGCAGCAAGGGTCTTGGATTCCGCTTGCACGCTGTCGACAAGAAAAGGTGAACTTCCCCGTGGCCACGGTGTCCGCTCCCCTCCCAAGTGTCTAACCCCAATTGCTTCAGCGCCCTGGCCTTAGCTCGGTTGCCTACCAGGAGGATAAGACTCGGTGTCTCAACATCAGGTCGCGCAGCGATTCGATGAGACAATCAGGTCGGTTCGTGGCTTGAAGCTTCACTTCGCCCTCTTTCCGCACGAGTCGTAACCAGGAGCTGTGCTTGCAGGACATATTCTGCAACGATTTACTAGATTTGTGAACTGAGGCTAAGCGTTCTTTTATATGACGAACAAAAAGCGAACACTCCGCTCCAATTCATGCTGCAGCCATTTCCCGCCACGATACAGTGAAGCAAAGCGTCCTCTCGCGGTATAAACACGAACGGTGTAGCCCGCTATGTAGCTGGTGGCGGGTCGTATTATCTCGTGCCCTGCCGTCGAGATCGAATTCGTCAAAATGCTGTCTCGACTGGAGCTTCTCTTTATTTGTAAGAACTGCCAAAGGGCTCGAGTTCGGACCTGCAAAACTCGAATCGGACTCCCGGGGCTTTTATACTGCTATTTTCGAGCTCGGTGTGGACGCCAGAGCCTGGTCATCGATGATCTGTGCTCACATTGCCGGCCGAGTCCAAAAAAAGGACCAATAGTCACTTACGAACATCACCACTTTCATCACGACTCTGCGCCCATTCGCCACCCAACTACTGTGCCGAGCTTCCGTCAGCTCCTTGATTCAGCCACCAGAGATGCAAGCAGCGCTTACTGGCTACGAGAATGCACAGGAAGCTTGATCATGGCTTTGGACTGTTGGATCTGCCCCGTAATTTCTAGCTCAACATATGCCGGGTCACCAGACGGTTAGAGGTCAACAACGTCTACGCGATGATCAAGTACTCGGAGGTTGCCTGTTTCTTAGTAGGGTAGAGACTTTCAAAAACTAGAACAGAAATAGGCCAAGGTCAATCGCGAGGGCCACCATTTGCCCCCTTTCCTCTGCAGTACCTCGTCCTGGAGATGGTCTGGCAAGGGTGGCCTTGATTGAGGTGTTTGCCGCTTCTACCTGGCAGGAAGTTGTGCCGATAACGTTCGTCCACTCTGGTAGCTGGTTCTGCACATGAATGCTTTCAAGCGTATCCAGCTCGTCTTGAATTAACATGGAAGGTGACAGGAAAGACTTGGGACTGCCGTCATCCAGTCTTTGGATGACGATGGAAAACTGTCATCTTGAGCCTCAGTCGTAGACGCTGAATCGTTATTCCCAACCATTTGCCAGCCATTGCCATCGCCACGCTGGCTACTTGATTCCGCGTCGTGAGGCATATCGTCATGGATCTGGTCGATCCCTTCAGAGGAGTTCTCGTCCGTGTTGAAACCATCGGCTTCGGGCTCGACTGGAGCCTGGATAGCGTTATCTACAGAGTCGGGCGTCAAACTGTCCCTGTCATCCAGCGAAGCCGAGTCCTCGCTGGCCTGGAACTGCACAGGCATTAGAGGCCAACCTCCCATTTCACTCCAGCTCGACGATAAGCCGAAGAAACCGCAACTCGAATCGCAGATGTTAACCTACAACTCGGTTCAAATCGGGTAGTTCCAGGCCTCGGGGCACATGGCTTTTTTACCATCCACTTATGATGAGTTGGCTCCCAGTAGAAAGCCCCCGCGATAATGTCCGCCTTTCGCCCGACGTCGTAGCCCTTGTTTAACAGACTGGGCCCTCTCTTGCGAGCTGCCTCTTTCTGTTTTCTGTTATGTCTTTTGCGAGCCATTTCTTTTAATCGCGTGAACTTTGAGCTGTTCCAGTGAGATTCTTGTGATGCAGCCTGATATGGGCGCAATCGGCTTCCTAGAATTCAGGTCATCCCTCTTTGCCGAGGAAAAGGAGATGTGAATCTTCGAGAGGTCGTAAAGGTAGTGCAGCAACCTTCACGGCTCGTCTCGTGGTGGCGGAGGTAAGGAGCAAAACATCAAAGCATTTAGAGACAATCAATTTAATGCTCGCTTTTGCCGCATTTCCTAGCCAACATGAGTGTCCTCGTCGCATTTGACCATCAAGCGGGACCAAAATAGGCTGCGTCACACCATCCACACCATCACACCTGGCAAGCTAGCGCGCGCTCAGTCCTCTTCACACCACCTTACCCAGGCATGATGCACCATCTAGCAAGGATTCTGAGGCATCGCTTCGCAAGCCACCACACCCGTCCCAAACCCTTTCCTCCTTCACACCCTCTGCCGAAGATGGCTGCCACACTCGAACGATCGAGGTTATGTCGACAAACAAGACAGTGGGAGCGCATTCTGGCTCATGCGTGGCTGGAGCGTGCTTCGGCAGCTTCAAGTGGTGTGAAGCATGAGCGCGGATTGGATGCGTATGGCGGCTTGCGGAGCACAGCCTGCCCTTGTCAGTACGTACCGCTCCTCTTGCCGGCATAGTGCGAGAGCAGTCAGGAGCATGTTTTGGCCGCTCTGGGTGGCACGTAGGAGAATCGCATTTTTTCGAGCGGGTGAGCGGTTACAGAGCTTTCTTGTCCAAATGTCTAATTGCGCCTACACGAGCATCAGGCTTTCGACAATGCAGCAAATCCAAGACTGAGCTTCTTGGTGGCGAATAGTTCTTCTATTTTCACACTCTTCAGTACAAAAACAAAGGACGAGCAGATCGCGTGCCCTCGTTGGGCAGTATCAAAGTCCATGGCCCCCACTTTTGGCTTTTTCTTGCCCTCTGCCGCTCTTTTCTTTCTTACATACCACATTTGCTTCGAATTTGCCATGTCAGAATCGCGTCGAACTCAATTACCTATGTTAGGCACTAGCGGTGTCAACCTCCCCCCCCAGCAATCAGGAAATTTTGCCTTGCAACAAACTGCCAACCTTCCTCCGCAACAGCCGTCTAATTGGCAACTTCAGGTACCTTACAGCTATTCTCAACAGCATATTCCGTACATGTCGCAGCAGCAACCGATTTTTCCTATTCAACAGCCTTCCAATTGGCCATACCAGACATACCAAACTCACCAGCCTCCTTCATTCGACCCGAATCCAAACCCTAGCTTTCAGTAATCTCTCGTCTTCTCCTGCAATTCTCTTTCATCACTAACAACTACATGAAAGGCACCAAGCCTTGAATTGTCTTAGCCGACCTCATGGCCCGACAGACCCTCTGCTTGGTCCTCAAGATGACCCGCAAGAGGAGCCTCGAGACAACTATCGAGAAGCCAAGATGGCTAGTCAAACCCAGGGCAAACCACCGGGTCCTGCTCCAACGACTGGACAT